GAAAGTATAAAGAAGCCATAACTCTAATAACCTTTTATTTATTGTTATATAAATTGATTTAAGTTGAAGCACACACTTAAAATAATCTACAGCAATTTCTACATATTTTTTCATCTGGAGCCGGCACCACTGACCACAGTCCACAGAGACGTTTCTCTTATTTTTTCAGTCTGCCATATCATGTTCCATGTTGACGCACTTGCACAAAAGCTGAAATTATATTTAAAACTTCTCTTCTCGCATCCTGTTTTTCTCTGTGGCTGTTTTTTTGTACTTTCTTGGCTTGTGGATGGCATGTTATTTACTTTTGTGGTCATTGTGCGCCAGCCTGAGCGGGCCCCAAAGGCCCCAAAGTTATAATTCTTTAAGTTTTTATCTGCCCCACACACATAGGCGCATGGAGAGGGTCCTTTTGGCTCGCTGGCTGCTTAAGTGGGCGTATGCGCAATATCTGAGCTATGTGAACTTCATGGCGGCGCCACTTCAGCCATAATTTTAGCATATTAATGATTTATGACGTCCTAGGGTGGAAGTGAACGAATTAACAGCAACAAAAGCAGCAACAACGACCCTAAAGTTGCTGTCTATTTTCATTTAGAATTCGCTTAATTTTCATTCGCTCCCCTAATGAAAATGTCCGACAACAGTCTGTGCGGAAAAGTGAAATTTTCGCTCGACTCTTTGGGCCACTTTCAATTTTAATTAAGAGTTGAACCCAACAGAGCCTCTGACTCGGTTCATTTAAGGTTCCGTTTTGTTCTACCCGGCTGGTTGCTTACTTTAGGCGATTTATGGGAATACAACAAATTTGTTAAGCTAATGATGCCATTTTTCCTGCCCAAATTACCTGACCAGGCCCACAGGGCGGATGATCCAAGCTCCCATCCCTGCAAGAAATACACAAATAAAATCAGCACAGACTGGGAGAAGGTCAGTGCCTAAAGTCATGTGTGGATTTTGGAAGGATAAATGGCCTAGAGATGCTGTTAACTGATTTCGGAACTGGTTCTATTGAATAAGGAATAAAAATATAGGTTGACAGCTTCAATGAATTTCAAATGACCTTTTTGTTTGAATAAAAGGTTTCTTCAATTATGCTTTAGTCCGAAAATATTTATTTTAATTTATTTATTAGTTATTTTAATTAACAAAAGATCAATTTGTAACATTTATATTTTAATTTAAATTATTGGGCTTATATCCTTTTGCAACTCAATTTCCAATTTTGCCCATAAAATTCTCGGCTAGTTCTTTCTGGGGAATTTCGTCTTCCACCTCCATCTTCAACTATTGGGACTATAGACAACGTTTGTCCAGTAAGTTTTGCCAACTCAGCAGAAATATTTGCTCTCGCTTACCGACAAATAAGTACCTGCCATAAAGGCAGAAGATACTTAACCTGAGCCGTTCTTTAGCCACCATTTCCAGCAAATGGCAAACAAGCTGTGGCCGAGATGGCTAGTAAAGCTGCACGTTGATGGCATAGAGCTTGGTCGAATTTCCATTTAATTAGCGGCCACGTTTGTCGGGGCAAAATCAGGGAGAATCAGGTCAGCAACACCAGCGGGAGAAATGCAATGAAAGCAAACCAAAGTCTATTAAGCCAAAGCCAAAATGGCAACGTAGCGCTCCGATTTAATGCCAATAAACCGCGTGAGGCATCGAGGAATCCGAGCCAGACTGCCGGGTCCCTTGTAACCGAGTTAACCAGCCAGAACCAGAACCCCAGACCAAATAGGGTGCTTCGAATGGGGGGCTCTAAACAATGCTCAATGGGGGGAATCGGATGCCACAGGGCTGGAGGAAAAGAGTAATCTACCAACTGAATGTGCAACATGCCAATGCACATGATGTGTTTAATGGTTAAATTGTTGCTAATTCCATTAGCCATTTGCTGGGCCTGCATTTAGTCCACCTCTTCGTGTGGGTGCACAAGGAAAAAGGTTGTAGTATCCTTGAATCGGATCTATAATAAATTAAATTTTAAAATTATAACTATATTTAAAGAAGACCTTATTGATAAAAGAAACAGCTGCTGATTCTTATTCATTTAGAAACAATATTCTAAATTAAAAATAATAAAAACAAGATATGAGGAAGAAGTTACAGTTTCCTTGGAATACCATAAAGCTATAGAAGTTTTATAATTTTTTAAGATCTGTAGATTTAGATATTAAGTCAATTAAAGAAAAAACTGAGAATGTAAATAAAATATTTTTACAATTGTCTTAGACTTTTTTTTGTAAATATTTTCTATTTTTAAGGACGACTTTTCCACAGTGTGCGGTTGTGTGTGTAAGGATCTGTGGGTGTCCGTGTCAGTGTGTTTGTTGCTGTATTTGTGGCCAAAGTGTTGCAATGCCGCCAGCTCCACCGAGCCAAACAGAAGACCAGGCCAGAATCCGAAAGGCGCCCCGCTGGCAAATGGAACGTGCACAAATTAATGTTACGTTGACGCAATGTTGGCAAGGCTCGAGTACCGTGACCCCTGCCCCTCCGCCCCTCCCCATCACCCACGCCCCCTCAAATTTGGCACATTGTTTGCCAGGCTGTGCAGATTTGTCAAACGTGTTTTGTGGAGGAGGGGAGGCGGAGATGTTTGAGTACCGGAGCTGATTGGAAATGCCATAGATTTAGGGCCCATCACAAACATCCAAGGGCAACACTTTGGAGTGGCATTCAGCACTTGCATCCGGAAGAAATTAGCCAGCTCAAAGTAACATAGGTTTTATGGGACAATAAATTCGGATAACTACATTTTAATTTTAAAATCGTTCCTTACTGTTAGATCCTTGCTTATTTTATTTTTTTCCATTTTTAGAATTTGTAATACTTTATATAATATTTAGTGATCATTTTAATTTCTTTTTAGTACAAAAACCGTAATTTTCATATTGTTTGCAGACTAAAATCATGTGCTAAATGCACAACCATTGAAAAGGGGTTTCCCTTATCATAAATTTCAATAATTTATTTAAACAGTAAATGTATTTTAAAGAATTAATTATTTATTCTTATTCAAAAATGTGAGTATTTGCACTAATGCCCAAAAGCTGCCATTTTTCGATCTATAAAATCCTTTTCAGGTATTTAAAATTTAAGCATCAATGATTTTGGCGCCCAAGCACCCGAAATGTCGAATGATTTAACCCAGAAAAAACCCTAAAACGTTGGCGCCCATTAAATTTGTTTAGTATGTGCACTAAAGTAAGCGCGGCAGGGCATCAAGCCGCACAAATGGTTATGGGAACCCGAGTTGGGGGATCCCCCATCCTCGGGACTCCGCCAGCTTCATTCAGTTAACGCGTCGCAGTGGCGTAGTTGGCACTTTTCTATTTATTTGCCCATTAACGCTCATTTGCGGTTATCAGGTAAATTGGATAAAAGCCAACGTAGCATGAAGCCTGTGCCTGTGCCTTTGCCTGTGCCTCCTACTGTGGAAAATCCTGTGCAAAGTCCTGTTTTCCCCGCCCGCCGTTTCACTCCATTTTTTGCTCTCTGGCTCTGCTTATCTTCGAGTGTTTTTGCAACATGAAATGAAGGCTCTGACTTTGCCTCTGACCACACTGGGGAAAAATAAAAAAAAAATAATAGGCTTATGAAATTCTGTTGAAAAAATCTGTTAAGAGCTTATAGATAAATCCAATTAAAAAGGAAACAGTACGGTTAAAAGGGTTAAACACTTTAACAAAGCTTAAAAATTAACATAATAAACAACATTTAAATGTACATATTAAAATAAATAAATTCCTGCTTAACTTTATTAATAATATAGTTTGTTAACTTCTAAATACTTTAATTTGTAAGCTTAGGCTTTAAATAGTTATTTATTTTAAATATTACAAAAATGACTAAAATAGCCAGTTTCAGCAAGGAACATATAAAAATATTCTTACAGTGCCGAAAGCAAATGAAAGTCTTCTTCCAAGTGCCCTCCAAATTCGTCGCCACCCGTATTTATTTCGCTTTCGATTAACTGCGGTAGTCATTAACACGGTTTACGACTGTTTGATCCTGGTCTACCAATCCACAAGCAAATATATCGAAATTCAAATTGAATTTAAATATTTGCGGTGACAAAAAAAGAAAACCTAAATTTTTGGCATAAAATCCGCAATTTGTTTTTCCTGATACATTATGGGGGCCGCGCAAAATTTCATATTCCCTTTGTGGCAAATATATCCCTTCGACAGGCGGGTAAAGAGAGCGAATTTAAATGCACCATATTGCAAGCTCAAATGAAATTTTGTGGCTTGTTGCAAAACAAAAAGCTGCAAAAAAAAGATGTAAATAAGAGCAAGAAAAAAATTGGAAACCTACATCACAATACTCATGCACACGCGGTGGCATTGTGGCTGGGGATCGTCCTGTGTCCTTCGTCCTTCGACGCCGTCCACTGCATGCGGTCGCTCAATATGAAAGTGCATAGAGTAAAGGCTCAGTTATGCACTCAAAAAAAATATTGAGGAAATCCAGTGTATACAAATAACATAAAAGAGACGACAATTTCTATTTAGTTTTTGAAAATATTTTTTTTCTATAGAAACCAGTATTTTATTTTTATTTAATTAAGGAAATATATTCTGGTTGTGATTGACATTAATTTAGTAATTTAGTAATTTATACAGGTCTGTAAATCAACTTTAGAAGACAAGCATTTTGACTTTTGGAAAAATCCAAGCAAAATATTAGAAATATACATAAATGATTCGTCGCTTTTTTTTATTGAGCCCGACTTGACTTGAATAGGAGAAACCCGGTGGGATGAAAGGGGAGTGTCAGTTGGTCTGTGGTCGGTTTGCGCTAAATTAAATTTCGCCGCGGTTGGCCCCAAAAGTCCAACACACTTGCACTACCAACACACACACTTGCACACTCGTGTACAAATTACTATTGCGCCAAAATATAAAGAGCGAAAACCCAACAGCAATCCTTATACAAAAGCAACATCTGCACGCCGAACTTATGCAACACATTCCGAAATAAAAAGCAGAAAAAAATTACAAAAATAAACGTTTCTTTTTATTTCCGCAATTTTGTATATTTCAGTTCGACATCGCCATTGAGGAATATTCCCAGGCCGGTATCTGCGCCCAGGGGCACCTTTTTCGTCTGCTCCACCAGATAATTTGAAAGGATGTGAAAGATTGCAGTCTTAACACTCAGTTGACCCACACGCATACCTATTAATAGAGGGTTACATTTTGTTTAAATCTTTTAGAGAAACTAAATAAAATAAATCTGATTCTGAAATAGCTTTTCCTTTATAGCTATTTAGAAAAATATAAATATGTGGCAAACATTTGTACTATGGGAGAGAAGATAATCATTGCACCAAAATATGTTGTTAGACTCACCTAGACAAATACGCGGACCATCGCCGAAGGGCAGAAAGATTCCGCGTTTGTTAAAGGCACTAGCCGCTCCATTCTCAAACCGATCCGGCCTGAATTCGCTGGCTTCCGGGTAGAAGGCATCATCATGGTGGTACTGAAAGGCGGGAATCATCACGGTAACACCTGGCTCCAACTCCAGAATTTTCTCATTTCCCAAATCAATTTGAGTGGCCTTAGTGCAGATTCGCATAAAGAAACCAATGGGCGTGGTCAGCCGAAGGGATTCTAGAAAAAGGAATATTTTCATATTTTAAATAGGAAATATAGAAATTTGATTATGAAATAAAAACAAATGGAACAGAATTGTTATAATTTTTATGTTATATCAAACTGTATATGTATATTATATAACAAATTTTAATTTTGAATAAGAAATCTAAATCTTAAGATCTTAACTACGAAGTAATATACTGATAATAATTCTATAAATGTGCACAAATTATTCGCGCAGCCAATTGACTTGTTTAAGATAAGACAAGAACAGATATGATACGAAGATTTTAAATCGTTGGATTAATATTTTTCAGCTTGGGTCTCCAGACTGATTGGCACTTACCATTGACGCATTGATCCAGATAGGGCAGAGCATTGAGCTGTTCGTAGCTAATATTGTCGTTGGAGGCCAAGGCATCTAGTATTTCCGAGCGCAACTTTTCCTGCTCTTCGCGGTGTTCGCTGAGCTGATAAGATATAGGTAGTTTTTTGTTGTTATATACAAATGGTGAAATTGGCTTACCGAATAGAGCATGTGGTAGAGAACTGCTCCGGAGGTCTCATACCCATCCAAGTGGACAACGAGGGCGTGGCCCACGGAGTCGTGGATTGAATTTCCTCTCTCCTGCAGTTGGATCAGGTGGGACAGGAAGTCCGTGCGACCCTCGCCGCTGCCCCCCCTCCGGAGATTCACTGCATCCTGGGTCAGTCGCAGGAAGAACTCATCCGATGCCTTGGTGAAAATTCGCATATTGAATAGCTTCCGCACGAAGGTGGCCACCAAACTCTTGTTGAACCGGATGATCGAGCTGAAGGCATAGACGGTCCAGTCCGTGGACACCTTCTGGAAGGACGCGATCTCTCCAACACTGCCGCTAAGCGATCCGGCATCGATGCCCCATATAAAGTCCGCCATTGTGTCGGCCGTAAACCGATAGGACAGCTAAAACAGGACATTAGTTTGGCTTGGAAGTCAAGTCAGGCCACTCACATCTCTGGTCTCGATGACATCACCCTTCTCCCGCCTCGCCCTCTCAATGTATTCGACCAACTTCCGACCACTCTGCTCCCAAATAGCAAAGGCCTGCTTCAGTCGATTGGGCGTGAGTCCACCCACATTCTCCGTTCGCCTTCGCTTCCATTCCTCTCCAGAACTGAAAAATGGTGACCTTTCCACGTACTTATCCTCCGGATTGTGGCCCACAAAACTGCTGGTTATGGTGTCCCGAAAATGGCTGAACTTGTCCACCAGAATCTCATGGGCCAGCGCGGGATCCAAAATAAGAAGTTGTGGCTGTCGAGTGATGAAAGTGCCCACCGCTCTGTATTTGTCCTTGTATTTACTAGAGGAAAAAATGAGGAGTATTAGTATAGGAACGAACATCTTCTGATCAATTTAGGGCCTCACTTGTACACCTCCTGTACATCGAGTATGAGACTGCGGCTCTTGTTGACCAGAATGCCCGGATAGGTGCCCAAAATGGTCAGTGGTTCGGCGGTAATAGCTCCCCGTTTATCCCAGTATTTATGGTACCAGGTGAGGTAAAAGTAAATCGCGACAAAAGAGACATGAACGAAGGTTAAACACCAACCCACTATGGTCAACATGGCCATTGCCAAACAAATCGATCAGATTCTCACGAAGTACAAATGGAAACTGCCCGGTAATCTGGCTCTTTAAGGCTTATAATCAGAATGGAAACGTTCTATATAGTATACAAGAGCGTTTCACCGTCAAGACCTATCACATTTTAATCTGTACTCTACAATTAGTTCTTACTATGTGTTCGGCACACGATTTTGATAACATTATCAGCCAGCAATTTGAAGATAAGAGTTTGTTGGAGAGGTAAGTTAAGTTATTAGGGCAACGCAAGCAAATCTTTTAGATTTCTTAGATTATTTAAGTCGAAAATTTAATATTATTTGAAAATTGCCTCAGTCATCTTTTTATTAAATTGTTAAAAAGGAAAACAGTTTGTTATGACTAATGACTATTAATAAGATGCGTGGAATAATGTATTTATCCATAATGTAGTTCTCGACATTTATGAAACTGCTTTCATTTATTTCAAAACGTCGAACAAAAATTATTATTATTTACCATATTCATTATCCTAGCGCGAAAAGCTTATACTTTTATTTGAATGAATTATATTATATTAATGCATAATGTTCAAATCTATCTTAAAAAGCGGCGATATTCCAGATTAACATCTCCCTGAAGAACAACCCCAAATCCAGCATCTCCATGGGGTATTAATCGTTCCTTTCCCCTGACCACCTGGAAATCGCTGAGAATGTGAACCAGAGCAGATTTCAAAGTCAGCAAAGCCAACCGTAAGCCTGCAAAAATAATCAATAAGTAAACGATCTATTCAAACTATTTTCTTTAAAGATTTACCCATGCAAATACGAGGACCATCGCTAAACGGAAGGAAAATCCCCTTCCGTATTAATTCTTGATATGCGCCATTATCAAAACGCTCGGGCTTGAACACTTCGGGTTCGAGAAAATATTGCTTATCGTGATGGAACTGATAATTGGGTATCATGATCGTCATGCCATCCTCCACATCCAGACTTTTAAATTCATTCAGCTGAATGGTCGTGGGCGACGTGCAGACTTTGGTATACTGCGGTATCAAACTGCTCAGACGGAGAGATTCTGAAAAGGGAAGTATAAATAAATAATAATAATAAATATGTCCCTACAAAAACCAACCGTAAACCACTTGCTCCAAATAGGGCAGGGAGCAGAGCCTTTCAAAGTCGAGACTCTTGTTGGATTCCAAGCTGGAGAGGATCTCCATTCGCAGCTTCTGCTGAACGGCTGGATACTCCGCCAACTGAAGATAAATAAATGTTAATTGGAATCTTTTTGATCCTACCTAATCTAACTCACATAATAAAGAGCATGGAGGAGGGCCGTGCCGGTGGTATCGTAACCATCTAACATGACGGTCAGAGCATGACCCACCAAATCGTCGTGGGTTGCCTGCTTTTGATCTCGAAGAGTCAGCAAATGCGAGAGATAATCCGTGCGAGTGGCATCGCCACCGCCCTTCAGTCGCATCTCAATGGACTCCCTGGTTAGATTGGAGAAAAACTCATCGGTTTCCTTCGGATAAAAGCGGAAACGGAGCAGCAGACGAATGCACGGCGCCACAATGGAGGCCATGAAAATGGTGATCATGAAGAAGGCATAACTGGTCCACTTGCTGGCCATCTGCTGCACCTCATTGGGTTGCTCCGTCGGTCGAGTAAGGGTTCCCGCATCGATGCCCCAGATAAAGTCAGCCATCACATGGACCGTATAACGAAAGCAAAGCTGGGAGTTTTAGATCCAATCATTAAATTTTCGAAAGTGTAATAAGAAAGTAATATAACATACATCTCTGGTCTCAATGATATTATTTTGCGTCACCTTGTGGGTCATGTAGTCCGCCAGCATCTTTCCACCCTGCTCCCAAATGTTATAGGCCTGTTTCAATCGATTTCCTGAGAGACCTGCCTGGGCATCTGTGCGAAGACGCCTCCAGGACTGCCCAGAGGCCCAAAATGGATTAAGGCGGGCATACTTGTCCCACTTGGCGTGTCTGATGTATGAACTGGTCAGCGAATCATTGTAGCATCGGAAGTTCTCGACCAGAACTTCGTGGGCCAACTGCGGATCGAGAACTAGGATCTGCGGTTGACGGGTCACAAAAACGCCCACAGCACGATGTTTTCCCTTGTATTTGCTGTGAGAATGTAAGATATTTAAAGGGATTATAGTTTACCCATATAAATAACAAGAATAAATCTTAGATCAACTCACTCGTATATCTGCTGCACGTCCTGGACCAGGTTGCTCTTCCGGGTGAGCAAGCCCGGATATGTGCCCAGCAGGGTTAAAGGGCGGGCCGTGATCAAACCTCGCTTGCGCCAGTACTTGTGGTGCCAGGTGAGGTACAAGTAGATGGGCAGCAAGAGCAGGTGCAGCAGGATCAGGGCCAGTGATATCAGGATGTACATATTTCCGCGCTCCGTGTTCCTGCAGCCTCCTTCCGATCTCGACCAATACTGATCGATCGGACCGAAGCCTCGTCGCTCCGGCAGCATGACAATCTACAGATTTAAAAGTAAACTTGTTTGACACTGATATTTATTTACATTTATTTATAGCTGACTTATCAGCAGTTTATTTTTCTTTGTTATCAAAAAAAATCAACGACTATCAGCGCAGTATATGGAAAATATTAAAGGGTCTATACATAAGTATAAAATTGGAAACAAAGGGTTTCACTTTAATTTGGATAATGCCAATATTATATACTTTTATATACTTAATATATATTATTTCGACTCTGTATCAGTTTTTAGAGATATATAAACCGCTGCTCGAAAAATCTTCTGAGCACCCAGAAAAAAATAAAAAGCTATGTTAATAGTCGCCTTCTGAAACTTAATAAAGTCTAATCTGTTTGGAGCAGCGGAATAATGAAGAACTGTACAAAAATCTCTTCGTGGCCCTCGCCTTGCATCACCAGATGCAGTTCCAGCAGGCCAATGGCGTTGGTTTTAATGGCCACCTTGGTGGCTGACTGCATTGCCTTGTTGGTCACGCGGATCTGCTGACTCTTGTAGCGGGCGACCACCGTCTGTTTGCAGTTGAACATCATCATCATGGGACTGGTCTTGGCCACCTCCACGCTGAACACCGCTTGCATGATGCCAACGGTGGTGATCTTAAAATGCGGGCGATCGGGCGAAGTGACGAACTCAAATTCCTCCGCTGACTTCTCCAGTTCGTGGAATACTTTCGACAGGTTTGGACCGCGAACGAAAATTACATTCAGGTCCGGATCCTTTAGGTTCTTGTCATAGTCAATTGGCTCCTCGCAGTCCATTGTTTTAATGGCACACTCGGTGCTCACATCCTCATTATCATAGGGATACAGAATGATCCTCAGTGGATCGCCTTGATCCCTGTACATCATCCTCAGGCTGCAATCGGCGGATCCGAACAGATTAAGGCACTCGGACAGCACGTTCATCTTCAGGCCAAAGCTCAGGAAGTCCTGCACGTAAAACTCCATAAAGGCGCCCGGCGGCATGAAGAGCGTGGCCTGAATGGACTTGCCCTGCTCCACGGTGATGCGAAGTCCATCCTCTGACACCTGCAGCATACCATACTGCAATATAAGAATTAAAATAGTTAGGAATCTTTTAAATAGAGCATTACTTAATTGTACAAATAAAATTTACATTTATGTAGGTTGTAATCAACTAATCCTTACATCATTAAAGCAGATGGACTTGATGGCCTGATTGAGGGTCTTTATGTGATCCACCCGTGCCACGAACTTGTAGTCGCCGTAAGTCGAAGCCTCGACATCACCCATTCTAATCCCGGAAGATCTCCTTTTGCAGATTCTTGAGCTCCTCCTTTTTAAGGTACTGTTCCGAGGTTTTCGTTCCCGGACACAAAAATTGGTGGAGTCGCAGGGCCAGGACGTGCTGGCAGGTGAAGGACACTCGGCTCTCCTCGCTCCAATCCTCCAGTATGCCCACTTGACCACTGGGAATGTCCTGATAAAGGATTCCTTTGGGCAACTGCAGCACGTGGCACTGGAAAAAGTCGCACTTGCAGTAGTTTATCCTCGGGAGCACCCGGAAATACTCAGATCCTTTAGAAAGTTCCACCACATAAAGATTGTTTTTGTTTTTAAAATAATAATAGGTGAAAATATAATCATCCAAAAGCTGAAGGGAGCGAAAGACCAGTTCCTCGCCCAGAAAAGCAGATAAATCGTAAAACAATTTCCCACTTTCTTCTGAAAAGTCATTAAATTGAAGGTATTTAGAAGGGCTAGAAGAATTTGTTTATCAATGAAACTTGCCTTTTGTAAGGCTACCAGATTCCGCTTGGTTTCGATATATCTCAAAGATTTGATCCAGCAATTGTGGTAGAAAGGGGTTTGTACAATTTTCCACTTCGAGTGCCATTCAGGACATTTTTAATGTAACTTTATTTCTCAAATAGATAAACAAGGCCGCCAAAAATAAACCGGCTGAGCGTCATCAGCTGTTCATTTAGATAACAGTCTGGCACGATATATATCGATATATCGATATATATTTTATGGGCACCCTAAACTTTAAAAATATCGATCCATTTAAAAAAATAATTTTTTGGCGCTTGTTTTGTTATATTTTATGCTGTGTCCAACTATAGGTGTTTATCATATTTATATACATATTTCCTACATTCAATCCCAGTTGAAAAATATATAATTTTTGGCGACTTTTTCATACATTTAATTTGTTTTTTAAAAAACTCAAATATTTACTTAATAACTCTCATTACAACAATGCAACCCCCGAAATGCAAATAAAACCGCAATCTTTCTTGGTTCGGATTGGAAAAATCATCTTCGAGATCTTCAAAAGTATTCTACACATTAGTTCAATGTAGGGTTAAGTGCTAATTCTATGGGCTTTTTTCATAAATCTGTAAGTGTGTGCGCTGTCTCCGCCAATTTTTGGTGCTAGTCTAAAAAGTAAATCTAATAATACTAGTTATAGTCTAGATAATGTTCTCCTTTCCATGTTTGATGCCACTGCTGCGTCGCTTGACGTTCTGGATCTTCATCATTTTGTTCTCGTCGGCGCACTTTGTGGTAATAGCATTGCGCACCTCCTTTTCGCTGGCATTGCACTTGTGCGTCACCGCAAAGATGATGTCCTGGATCTTCTGGGGGTCGAGCATGCGCTTGAGTGGCTTGTCCTGGTCCTTGAAAGCGGGCGATGGTTTCCCCGTCATCGAATGGGTGGCTAAAGTTTCCCGATCGAAAATGGAGACGAGGAGTTTCCTGGTGGCCAACGAGGAGACCGACCAGTTGATGTTCTCGAAGACGCTGGCAGGGACACATGTGTTATTTGGACCAATGGACACCATCACGTTGTCCATGTTTTGCTGGGGGTTTTTGCTGAGATCGTTGAGACTGCCATTGCGGATTTTAACCTGCGACTTAGACGGCAACTTTATGTTTTGCCGCGGAACTTCTTCTGGTAACTGAATCTCCTGCAACTTGCGTCGTTTGATGAACTGCAAAGGTGTGCCAGAGGATTCCTCATCCTCCCTTTTAATAGCACTGCTGATCCTGTACTGCTGATGATGGTTCTGCTGCTGATTCTCCTCGCCCAGGCAAATCTCCAGGCGATCGGAGTCCGCCGAGGTGCTCAGACTATTGAGGCTCTCCGCCGCCAGGCGAATCTCAATGGCATCCGCGTCATCGGGTGCCGAGATGATCTTGTAGTCGAGAATCTGGGGATTCTGCACGGGGGCACAGATAACCGAACTCGGGGGCGTGAGGATCTGGTGGTTTTGTAGAGTAGGCGGGGTTGGTGGTCCAGAATCCGCCAGCAAGGACGATGCCTGCTGCATCCTGGCGGATGTGGCATGGATTTGGGACAACAGATCCGTGTGCTGCTGCAGCTTGGCCTCCAAATAGCGAACTTTGTCGCGCAAGGCACGATTTTCTGCCTCTACTTGGGGATCAGGAGTGCTAATGCTACGGAGCAACTCGAAATCCTCGCTAGAAGTCTGCGACCACGCATTTAGGTATAAGGGCTTGATCCTTTGGTTTGGAAATTCCTCGCGAGGATTGGCATTGACAATGCGCTGATATTGCTGCGAATTTAAAGGGGAATTTATAAGCAATATGTTCCAGTAGGTAAATGGCCGGCACTACTTACATTATCCATGTTGAATCCTCAAAGGATCTGCATCAAATGAAAATTGGCGGCAGAATGCGAAAAGCGGTTGCATTCCAGGGGTGGGTTTTCACCGATTCTTTCGCTTCCTTTCCTTTTCTTTCCTCCAATTCCCCGGGAAGCAAAAGCAAAACAATGGGAAGCAATTCCAATCACACGGACGCTACCTGGACGCACACACTAACAGCAAAACTGCATGCATGTGCAGGGAAGAGAGCGCATGTGTGCGAGCTTGTGGGCTCTGTCCCTCCCTCTCTCTCTGGTTTTCAAGGTAAGCGATATCCTGATCCTGTTCGGTTCCAGGTTCTAAGGAGAGAGCCACTTTATTTCCCAACTAGTCCAGCTGTCCTCTATTTTTTCCCACTTTTCGCATGGGTTTTGCGCGGGAACCAGAGTTGTTGTTGTCTGCACGACTTCGAGGCTAGGGTTGTCGAATGGCGCGCGAACTAAGCAATACTGTAAATATCGGCAAGGGACTACGATGTATTGTAATTCCTTATTTATTTTATCTTAATAATGTTATTTATTTATATTCATGACTCCAAAAATTGTATTATATCAAGGAGTTAAATGGGTTTTTTTTAAATATTTGTGTTAATACCTATTTAATAGAAAACGTTTTCGAATTGAAAACAATCATTAAGCAATTGCAACATATTTTAATGTATGTGCACTTTAAAAAACCATTTCTTGAAAATTGATCTTTCTTTAAAATAAATAAAACTTCAAACTTAAAATGTTTTCTACTAATTTCTTTTGTGATGCTATAGTTGGGGTAAGATCAGATGAATGATGAACCAAAGTACATGTAATAAAAGAATGTACAAAACTTCTTTCTTAATACCAAGAACCTAAAAGGACAATAGTTGGGTTTTGTAAATAACCGGTTTTCAAGACTGAAACCCGATGTAATCTAATGGAATTTGAATGTATTGGGAACTCTCCCAATACATAAGATCCTTTTGGAATACAGTCCTTAAATCATACGCTCTCTGATCGGAAAACACACCCTTAAAATTCCGATTTAGTATGAGTATTTTTCGAAGGGTAAGTCCACTGGAAATCCGTCAGGTAGGCCGACTACTGTGAGGCCTTTGAATGTGCAGAATAATATGCATGTCTGGTACGTGCTTTTAAAAAAACTTAATATTTAATAAAAGGGTTTTGAAATAAATGGTGTAAAATGGGCTAGGTTAGTAATTTAATATATTTAACAATATAGTTTTTTAATTAAAAACGTTTTATTTGAACTCAAATGTTTAAAATTACAAAAATTCGTTCTTGGGACTTGAGTCTTATTATAATGACTTGGCCTAAATAGGAAATTCCTCCCACGTTAAAATAAGATACTTTCATTTTACTTTCATAGAAGTTTTGACATATTTTTCATTAAAATTGTTTATGAAATAAATAAATAACAATAATAAAAGTCAAAAATTCAAGGAATTACAAAAGCCATATTTTTGGGTCGCATATGTCTTTGGTAAATTTGGTGATCTAGACACATGAACTTCTTTATTTATAAAGCTAAAAAATATTCATTGGAAAAACAGCATTCAAAAACAATTTATAAAATACAGCACTTTTTAATTTTAACTTAAAATCGATTTTTAAAGTTAGAACGCAAATAATTTAAAATAAGTGACCTTGTCAGCCCTGAAAGATCTTTATCGACAGGTAGGATTGCCATCTGGCGCAAGGGATAATAACCGTTAATCCCCGGTGCCATAAAAACACGATTTCGAAGCCGAGATTTACCCAACGAAATATTCGCAAAATAACTAAAGGAAATAGCTCGGCTGCAGCTGCACTTTTTGCCAGAAGTAAACCTTTTTCGTTACCTGTTGCCAAAAATCCGCGATAGAAATGGCCGCCGGATTTCGTCCGTACGATCAGGACACTTCTAACCTTACAAATAGCGAGCCTCCGGGAATTAGCATGTCAGTCGTCCGGCTAACAGAGCCGCACCTACAGTACTTTCATCCGCAGACTGCGATCCTGCCGACAGTCCAGTATTCCCATCCGTATCATCACTATCTTAGTCAGTTTGCCCCGAATTTTGTGCCCTACTATTACGGCCTGCTCTCGCGACCGATAATGAAGCAGGAGGAGATGGACATCGAGAACTATATCAACTACGAAGTGGCCTCCCAGCAGAACATTATGCGTCAGAGGGCCATGAAGCCTCTGGGTCAGCTGCAGATCCAAATGCCGCCTCCCATAAAGATTAGCCACGGACCAGTGAAGGTTCCCGTAAAGCCAGTGCCAGTCCGAAGGAGTTCGCCACCCAAACGCCGCATTATCAATGCTCAACTGGTGGCAATGGCCAGCGCCTCCGGCGGAATCAAGAACATAGAACCTCGGGTGGAACCTTTGCCACCCGTCGAAGAATCCTTTAAGCAGCAAGTGGCCAAGATCCAGAAGAGCCAGCACCACTACGAACAGCTCTTCGGGAGACTAACCACAATGCTGAAGACCCTCAATCAGAGGTATAACGATGCTGATGATGTGCCTGCACCGCCGCTAAAAAGACCCCGCTACATCTCCACCAGCTCCGCGGAATCTCATCTCCAAGAAACAGCCTCCGAAAAGGACACTTCGGTTTTGTATCCCCAGCGGGTGGAAAAGGCGGATGGCAGTGCCGCATATGTACTGGGACCCAATGGCACCCAGATCACAGCCCATCAGTACACAGACGTCTTCTGGACCAATGCTCCGACGGCCACGAGAAGTCTCCTCTGCATGGTCTTCACTAGCGACGAGTTGGCCACCCACACGCTGACTGGAAAACCCTCACCCGCTTTTTACGGCCGGGAAAGGCCACCGAAACTGCAGTTGGACCCACGAAAAGTGGACGACATTGTGATCTGTGTGAGGGAAAGGACGGGAGGCAAGGAGCGTGTGATCCGAGCCACCATCACCACCAAGTGCGCTGACACGGCCAAGAAGTACAAGCGACGGGCAAAGAAGGCCCAGAAGGTTACTATTAAAGAGGAATTTTAAGATGGTTGGGGAAAGGGATTGGCTAGATATAATCCAGCAATGATTAAATCTTAAAACTTCGCAAAGGATCGCAAACGACGCGCCAAAAAGGCGCAGAAAGCATTTGTAAATATCAATAATAGGTCCTGCTTAAAGCTGTAACACTTGTAAAATAATCTAATTGAATAAACAAACAAAGACGAAATACTGATCATTATCATTACATAGTTGATGTCGGTTATGATGATGGCTTTCATTTGAAAACCTAATATGGATATAATGAGGTAAATAAGGTCTCATTCTGAATTCATTATGTCAATAGGTATGTCCTATGACATTTCGGGATGTCTTGTTACCCAAATAAAATTCTGCTTGTGCTGCCAAACGTTCTTCGAGTGCCAAGTTAACGAAATTGGATTTATTAACACATTTGAGTGCTCTCTTCAATCGCAGCCATCTGCACTTGAATTTAAAAAATAATTATAAGCTATCCACATTCTATTGCTTTTTTGCCTTAGGATCCCAAGCCTCTACTTTGTTGGGTGTTGTGGTGTATGGGTAGTAGGCCTCTGCAAAAGGAGATGCTTGTAAATTTGAGGTTTGGGATACATTTAATATAGCATTACCCTTAGTGCCAGAAAGATTCTCGCTGTGGTCCGCGATCCACTTGTGTTTGGGACGGCAGCCATCGCGGATGGGAGGCAGATCGGTCTATAAGATAATGAATATTTACATACAAGATAATTGGTGTATTAGAATTATTTGTCGTTCTAAAAATACAAATATAATGGAAGACTGGTACGTCAAGAAGGTAGAAACTCTCATAAAAACAGAGTATTTCCGTATTTCTTCGGAAACTCATAATATTAAAATATCTATGTTGGACCCACCTTATAGTGCATCCAGCCGTACCACTCAGCGGGAATCATGGATCCATCGTAGTCCATGTTGACATGGGGGGCAAACTCGATCCAGCGATTGCGGCCGTAAAAGTAGTATGCATTCTCGAAATACTTGTTGCCATACTTGTCGATTCCCACCAAAGTTCCGATCTTCAGGTCATCGTTTCTGCAAAATAATGTTTTTCAGGATTAGAGCAATCTTATATAAGATCGAGACTTACCTATATAGCTTCAGGTAGGCTTGCTTCAGTCCCCCGGATTCCCGGACGATCTGGAACAGCTTGGTCAGCCGGTTTATGCCCAGAAACTTGGCCATGCTGTCAGGGATTTCGAATATTAATTAAATGTACAAATTTCGATTTTCTCGGACTTAACTCACTCGAAACAAAAACAAAGTCAATTTGCAGTGTGGCCAAGGGCCACTGAAGGAAAAATATAATAAAAACAGCTATAAAACTGCCGGTAAATGCAAAGTTAACTTGTACATTGAAGCAACAAAACAATTTTACTGTAATTAATTTTATGAAAAAAGGACAATTTAATTTAAGTTTAACTTAAAGTTTTTAAAATTAATTAATATAAAAAAGATGATTGCATTAATAGAATTCGCTTAGGTATTTTTTGTTAGTATATTGCCCATTATTACTGCAGCTAGTATATTGCATTGCTCGGTCACACTGCCACACATCTGTTTGCCGGAATCGGCTTTGTGATTCATATTTTTGGGAAGAAAAGTGCTAGGAAAGGAGCGAAAACATGGCCAAAAACACCTCCAGCAATGCGTTCCGCAAGATCGATGTGGACCAGTACAACGAGGACAACTTCCGGGAGGACGACGGCGTGGAGAGCGCGGCAGCGGGTCCGGATGAGAGCGAGATAACAACGTTGCTGACGCAGGGAAAATCCGTGGAGGCGCTCCTGAGTGCCCTGCAAAATGCCCCACTGCGTTGCAAGAACCAGAATGTAAAGGTGGGTAGCTCCTTGTAGTCAAGTCTCCCTTCCAATCCTGCTAATCCTCCCGAGATATTGCAGGACCACGCCCTGAACATCACACTGCGGGTGCTGCTGTCCATCAAGTCGACGCAAATGGACCAGGCCATCGATACCCTGGACCAGAACGATCTGATCGATGTGCTGATGAAGTACATATACAGGGGATTCGAGATCCCCTCGGAGGGCTCCAGTGGCCACCTGCTACAGTGGCACGAGAAGGCATTCGCCAAAGGAGGAGTGGGATGCATTGTGCGGGTTCTGTCGGACACAAATCGCGCCTAGAGGAAATTACCACAACCAAAGGCCGTCATAGAGTCACCATTTCCCCTGTTCCCCCAATCCCAAACAAAGACTCGAACGCACCGCGGAGCATTTAATCAACGCCGGAATAGAGCGCTGGACACCACATTCTCATCTTAGGATGCCTGGAATTGCCACACCCCAGCTGAAACCCTCTTCTGTTTCTTTGCCGCAATACAAATGACGTTTTCCAAATTAGATTTTAACTGGTATCCAAGTATTAAAGTTTTTATTACGAAAGGTGAGTGGCAGTGAATTTAATTAAAGGGTTTTACTTCTAATTCATATAATCCAATACTAAAAAAACATAATTTCGAAAAACCTTGGCCTAAACAGTAATAAAAATAGATGGAAATTGGGGAAAATATGTCTTTATAGTCCTTTAATTTATTTAAGCCAAGTCTGAACAGATAACTCTAATTTCGCACCATTTTAGGAGCCACAGATTGTTTAGTAATTAATCCTAAGAACCAAAAATTTTGGTCTAGAGCTATGTCACATATTTATTGGCTTATCTAATCGAATTTCAAGCTACAGCCTTCAACATGGTGACGTTACCCAAAAAGCTTTTCATTAGCATTCTTCGTGTATTATTCAAATGTAAATGCCACAAAAAACATCCTCATTGTTTGAATCAACCTTTTCTGCTTTTATTTGACTATTCAATGTGTAATAAGTGCTTTGGATAAACTAATCGAAACAATCACGGCATTCTACAACTTCTTATTCAATTTAAAAAGCGTCGAGGCTCAATGATAGACAAATGCCAGGCGAATCAAAATGCAGGAGTACGCTAAAATGAAAGGCCCAAGATTATAGGGTCGCATGTAATTTGATGATATTTTAGTGCTCGGGAGGCGAAACATTTAACAAAGAAGGAGTTCGTTCTCTTCAAAACGCGTCTTCAATAAATAGTTTTTATGCTGCTTATATGTGGGGGTTATTAAGTCGAAACGGGTTGCTCCAGCCTACCACATGTGGGTCTCGCGGATCTCGCTGATGATGTGATTCGCCCTCGTCAGTGCCTGAAATGGGATTTTGATTACTGACTGGGCCAAGTATAAATTAACTAGTATAGTTTACCTTCAACATATCTGCCGCCTCCTTTCGGCGCACTGCAATGTGATCGGACTCGTTCAGCAGTGTTTCAGCCCTATCTGATTTATAAAGATGGGTAACGAGTTCGCTCTGCAAGTTGTCCTTTACGTAGTTAACCAAGAAATGCATAATGGCCTTTGGTACCGAGTCTTGTATAGATTTGCGCACAATGTAGAAATACGATTTGATCAGGCGTTCTGGAAGAAAGTGCAATTAAGTAACCAATTCAAAATATAAAAGTGCACTAAAACACACCGATGACATCGCAATCCTTTTGCTCCTTGTCAGTCAGGCGACGTGGGTTGTGGTTAACCGGCATATCGGGCAGCAGATTGACTGGCTTCACCGGGCTTACAATATTATTGTGAACCGGCGTATTGCTGGCCGAGTTTTCAATGCTGTCCGGACGTGTTGGTGCCGGTGGTAAAATGTTTGACAGCCAAGTGCTGGCCATCGAAGGGGTCGAGTTCTCGCCAACGTGGTTCTAAAACGTAAAACAAAAATAAGTTAAATTGTATGCATTTGACAAAAACTGAAAATATGCTGGCACCTGCTCATGTGCTTCACTATATTGTTGCTGCTGCTGCTGCTGGTTGTTCTGCTGTTGCTGTTGCGCCGAAACCTGCGGTGACATGTGGTTGCGGGGTGTGTTGGCCCGCCGCTGTCCCAGATTCATCTGGGAGTAGGGATCGCTGTCGGTTTTCAGCAGACTGGGTACCAGGGCGGCATCCTTGTGGAAATCAGGATGCTTGGTGTTGATGTAGGCCAGCTCTATGGCCACAATGTTCTCCACCATCACATTGGTGTGCGGCAGTCGTCGTCGCAGCAGCTGCGTGACCACGTCTACGATCTTCTCATGAAGTTTTGGAAAGCTGTGTGGGAATAGGGAATAAATGGTTTTATTTATGGCTTATATTTAGAAATTGTAGTCCACCTACCGCAGCATTTCTTGCTGCACTTCGTTGCCACAGTGCTGAACGATGCGCTGCATCTCCTCGTGAATGAGTTCCACGCAACGCAGAGAGGGTTCCTCCAGCCGACGGATCTGGCGCTTTACCAGCAGCTCGAATGAGACCTCCGGAACGAAAAGAGCCGGACGTGGGCCCGTTGCATTACGGATGGCCGTGAGTATGTCCATTTTGCTCAGACCCGCCAGCGGGTGAATTGAGTCCAAGGTGCGGCCGAAGGTCTCATGGAAAATGTAGCAGATCCTGGCACCACCGCACAGCTCCGTGGTCTCGATATTCCGTGCCGTGCCCTCGATGGTGGAGCAGTAGGCGCTTGCAAACTTCGTGATGATCTGCAGCAGCGTCTGGCTCTTGTCGGAAACATCCTCGCCGTATGAGTTCAGCAGCGATTGGAATTGCGTGGCCATGATATTGACACGGGTCTGTGAAAATAGGATAAGTCATTTTCTTCAAACTTATATGGCAAAGTACCCTTATCTGCTTTTAATTTTCTCTTGCTTTATCGTAAAAAATATAAAAATCGTTTGCAATAGATTGCTCAATCTTAGTAAAATGACAAATAACTTTTTAAATTTAGCATAATCATTTTTCTACATTTTGAAATAATATTAAAGGCTTAGGGTTTAAAAACTGTAAGAATTAATGACAAACATTTTTGTAAAGGTTTGTAAATTGAAGTTTAAATCTGAATTAGTGTGATTTTTATTCAAGATTTAAATTATAAAGGGCTTCTAAAATCTGTATTTTACAGAAATTTGGCTGGTAAAAAGCTCTTTAGTAAAATATTATTCATGACTCACCTTCAGATCAGGCAGGCAATCGCGAATATGGTGCATCAGGAGTCGGTTGAGGGTCTTGGCCAAGTAGGGCGTACCATTCCGAGTGGCCAGCGTTGGATACTTTCGCTGCAAGAAGGCCGCCTCGTCCTTCATCTGTTCGTCGATGTGCTTTTGGTCATTGATGTCCTTTTGCGAGCGATTCATTACACCAATGATGCCTAGCTTGACGGGAATGACACGGCCGCACAGAATATCAATGGCATCGGTGCCGGCGTCCATGAGATCCAGCTTGGTGACCACGGCCAGGGTGCGGCGGCCATCGGGATCCACGTCCTTGGCCAGCTTCAGTGCCTCACTGGTGGCCATGTCCGTGTTGGCGGCCGTTACGGCCAAAATGATGGAGTTGGGGTTCTCAATGTACTTGACCACCAAGTCTTTAATCTGCGCCTCAATGTCTTCCGGTTGATCGCCCACGGGAACTTTGGTGATGCCGGGAAGATCCACTAGCGTCAGGTTAACCACATGCGTGGAGAATATCTTCAGGTTGATGGGCTCCGGGCAGATGCCCTTGTTGTTGCCCGCCGCACGTTCCGTTTCGCTCTCGATCTCTTTCCGGATCTCATCGAAGTCCGTGAAACACTTCTTGGTGTGCAGGAAGCGGCCCCACTCCTCGGCGTTGGATGTGCCTGAAGAGATGGTTATTTAGAAATGGATTTTTAGGATGTACTAGATGCTAGCTCACCATTTTCCGCCGAGCGATTCTCGCGATCGTCGAGTGGGCTGTAAATCAGCTGCAGAATTAAAGGGCGACGGGTCACGATCCCAGTTCCACGGGGCAGAAAGGAGCGTCCCACCACGCTCTCGATCACCGAACTCTTGCCAGAACTCTGGAAACAAAGGGGTGTGAATAAACCGCATTAATTGAAGTTGAAACTGGGACTGATAAACGTCGATGACCTGATAAGGAGAGCTTCCAAAGCATTTGCAACGCGGAAACACTTGGAAACCCGCAGATTAACTATTGTTATCTGCAACAGTCGAAATCCTAAAAAATCGAACTTTCTACAACTAAAGAGAGTTGAATTGCTTATCTAAAATTTGTATCATCTAAAGGTATTAATGACTATTTACATTTTTATTAAATCTTTATCTTTGGAATTAATACCAAAAATTTTTAAGCGAAAGTTTGAGTTATTATTTATAATTTTTTAAAAATTATTTAAGCCCAATTAGACTTAAATAAAATTTCTAAGAGGCACTGTAATATAATTTATAAGTTTATTGAGCCTGATAATTCATTTTTCAATTATAAGTTTCTTGAAATTAAATTATATTGTAGAAATACATATTTTGCTAATAAGAATATGGGATTTTTTCCTGTAAAATCCAATTTATTTAGCCAGTAAGCAAAGTTATAGAGGCTCCCCTGTACTTAATATGAATGACTTAGATTTAATCATACGGAATTATTTTCAGAGCGTGAATCAAAGTGCAATTAAAGCCGCGATCAAAACACACATACAAACAAAACTATTGGAGATATATGTTTGTTTGCAATGTGTTTGTGAAGGAATGTGTCACATCAGCAGCTGTTTTTTTCTTTCGCAATATACAGCGAATATTGATTTTCCATGGGGGCGGCAAACATTGCCAAAAATAATTATATAAACAATAATGCCGCGCTACGGACGGGGAAATATCTCATTAAGAAGAATAGATTAAAAACATATATGGCTAAAATGCCGGCAAGCGCATTCAGTTATATAATTTGGCGGACGCTGGAAAATCAAAAGAGCTATGGATATAGATATGTATGTGAAATTCCGGTTTATTTGGAGCTCTCCTTTTGCGGAAATCGGTGAATTTTTGGTTGGGGTGCGGATGGGTTTTCGCATTTCGCTTACCTGACTGCCGAGAACAACAATTTGGGGCAGTTGTATCGAGTCGGATCCCACCGTGTTGAAGACGTCCTGCAATTTGTTAATGACCGGAATTAGGGCCTCCATCGTGATTGAGATGTGTGCCGGGGGTTCTTCAGATCGCGTTCCACTCGGTTGGCGATTAATCCACGCACATTCAGGCCGTTCTTTGTGGGTTTTTCTGGTTGACGCGAGTACCTAAATTATTTTTGCAATGCGCCAGTGTTGCACAACGAATTTAGACTGACCTGGTGGGGCTGCCACATCGCTGGAATACGATTGGCCTGGGCTGCCACACGAACGCTTGTTATCGGCCACCACTATTTTTAGCGTTTAAAAGCCAATCACCTTCTGCTTGGATGATAAATAATCAATTATTAGTTTTTATTGTAGGGAATTCAAAAATAATTCACAATTCTTTAAATACTTTTTGCTTTTTTCCTGGTATCTAAATTGTTAGTGTCAATTAAACTTTAGTGCTGCCATTTTCATTGTATGGCAAGCTTTTAGAGCCCGCTAAAATACTGATTTGAATAAGAACAAACCGTTATAGTTTTGAAATTCAAGCTTTTGGAAATTTTAAAAGTTTTTTTAAATTACTTGTTTAGTTGATATATAAATAAACAACAATATTCACCGTAATTCTTAAAAAATTTTGGATGGTAATATGGTAAAAGGTAAATAAAGTCTATAAAAACAACGAAGTCGTACAATTTTTAATTGATATTCTTATTAAGCGTTATTATAAATACTTTACTTACCTAGTGCCATCTTTATCTGCATTAAATTACCATCTATTACCTTTTATTTTCTGACCAACCTTACACGGAGAAACCATAAAGTAAGATGGTTGAAACAAATTACATTTATCAAGCAGGAAGTGGTAAATTCAACCAAATTACATTCGATTATAAATTACTCTGCTCCATTACCCCGTTAATATTTACTGTTGGTCATTTTTAAGCATTTTTTTGTTTTGGGCTTTGGTTTGACAATATCTACACAATATAAATATGTATTTATGTGTATATCCACTAAGCAAACTTAAAGATATCTGCTGAACAACAACCACCAGTTCCAAAACTCACGCACACTAAAACAAGCAATATCTGCAGCATCTCCATATATTTTTCAATAGATAAGAAAAAGTATAAAACATGATAGCAAAAACCAAATATTGAAATACCCTTGAAGGCTAAAATATATCTACAAAAATGATTTATCAAAGTTTCTTTTGGCTTGAACCAGTTTTTGATGATGGTCAGTTCTAATAACAAAATAAAGTATTAGATTATATAAATCATATATAACGTCTTGAAAGGCTATATATTATTTTAAAAACATTAAAATTATTATATCTCACAGTATGCAGGTTTAGTTTGAATTTTGTTATTTAAACAAGATTACATTTTTCAATAAAATCAGCTTGATAGTATGTTGGGTATCCCTGAAAAGGCAATAAGATTTAAAAGTTAGAGCAGTCAGACCACGTGGACTAAAAAAATGAGTAGAAGAAGGGACAATCTGGGGGCCTGGTATCAAGTGCTCGAGATTTGCATTGGAATTGGGGAAATGGGGATGAGAAACCCCTTGGAGTTATATAAGAACTGGTAGGCGGCATTGTTACCCACCCACAGGCCCACTTCCAGAATATTTCTCAACCACATGCGATTGCCTGCTATGTATTGTGGGTGAAAATGCCTGGCTCATCTGTCGTTTTATTGGTTTATTTCAATGCTCGAGGATGCTTGTCGCCCGGTACACTAAGCATTCAAAACTCGAAAGTGGCCCAAAATGGTCAAGAGTATCGGACGTAAAGAATTCCCCCATCCACGTTTGCATCATCTGTCCCATTTGGTAACGATTCGCTTTGTTGCATGCAAGCTTCCCCTTTGAATAGAAAATGACAATGAAAATTGTTACGAGTCATTTGATGCAACTTGTTATTGTTGGTTTATCATTTTAATGTCCTGCAAAACATTTAAACATGATTCAAATAATTCAGTTTTGAAAAGTTATTTTCTATCTATTAAGCTTTAAAGCCATCATTTTTAATTTCCTATGCTTCGATTTTTGTATAAGCAAAGCTACGAGAATGATTTTAAGATTTTAAATACATTCCATATTTGCATTGCGTTTTCCTTGTAATTGCGAGGGCGGCCAAATGAAACCACACTACTTATGGGTAGAGTGATAACCTAAGCCACAAAAAAACAAACAAAAGATTTTAAACACTCGTATATACATACATATTGATTAACATCACCAGCAATTTGGACACGTGTACATAGAAATCAAAACTCTGATTAAAATTTTTAATTTTTTGGAGTGTTTGAGTTTTTATTAAAATTTTATACCTTTTCAGAGGGTATTATAAATTCAGTAAGAAGTTTGATACCCAAACATTTCCGACCATATAACTTTTTTTTTATTTTTTTATGTATATAGCCAGGACGGCTTGTCCGATTCCACTCAAACGAATCTCTCAGTTTTAAAGGTATATATATTAAATAACTGCCACAAGAATAATCAGAAATTTAATAAAAAAAAACTTTAAATCTTAAATATTTGCTGTTAAATATATATGCTGTTAGATATATCCTATAGCTGCCAAAAAAAACGAACGTAAAATTAAAAATAAAATTGTTTGATTAAAGATTTTTTACGTGTCGGCCCGAAAAACTATAACATAAAGCTGCCATGCTAACAATCTGTCATTGGTCAGTAAGTTGATATAAAAATCTTCTAAAATCGGTTATTAATTCTTCCTTATCGTGCTTAACGAAATTATTATGTTATAAATAGAAACTAGTGTGTAAAGTGTATATAAACCTCGTTTCCGTTTTTGTAACTAATTCGTAAATAATTCTCTAGCGCAAATAGCTATTTCCAATTTGAATTTCTTATCATACTTGTCGATTCTTAAATTAAATGGGTGTACAGGGAATTGGTGGAAATCACTGGCGTATATGAAATTTCATTCAGAGGGCTAATAAATTCTAAAAACTCAATATTGTTTTCATTTATATATTCAACAATTTAAAGTCCCCTTAGAAACGCCAATGGTCGATATTCAGATTTTTGGATTCGAGCATCGGCTCTGTTTCTTCTATGCTGCTAATAAAGCTATATATTGAGCTGTTCTGCCTCATCGAACATTAGTCGAGTAAAGTCATTCGTGTGGCAGGCTTTAAGATTCAATATGGGAGCGCAGTACAATCTTGATTATTTCTTTTATATTTTGTAGGTTACAATTCCTGCTAACCTAAGTGGGCAGTATAACTTTAAAATCTGTGATATTTTATTCAAAAAATTTTAGGCACATGCACCAATCCGACATTCGGATCTGCTGCCTCCGTCAAAAAATGTTGCCCAATGGAAAGTGTAATGATTACATACAGGAGGATCTTGACAAATACAACTTAAGTAATAACACTACCATTATAAGGATTCCAATTTGGGAATGCGATGAGGTGGTCACAGTGAAGGTACCCTTTAGAACATTCGATATCGTATGTTTTTTTATTCGCCGCTTTTCTTCATGTCTAATGCACAAGATTTTAGGTCTTCCACTCCTTTATGAAACATCAAAAGAGCACTGTGTTTATCCTAGTGCAGAAGGTTTATTTAATTTCTTTTGGACAGAAGCAATAAGAGGGCCGCCGGCATTCCGCTGGGGTAAGCATACAAAACTTATTCCATTCAATTTGTATTCTTATCTGTTTTTGTTTTTGCAGTATTGGGGATTTCGCTGATAGGCTTTGTCCTCACGATCGCAGTGTATCTCTATGTTGAGAAGCTCCGAAATGTCCTAGGAAAGTGCCTTATCTGCTGCATATTCTGCAGGCTCGTATTGTTCGCTCTCATGATACTGGATGACTTGAGCTTGTTGAACGACTTCAGCTCATCAGCAGGTTAGTAGGAAAAGCGATTAACCATAGTATAAAGGGTAATTTATATCTCCCGCAGGTTACAGCGCATACTTCTTCAAGATAGCTTCTTATTTCTGGGACACTGTCATTAGTTTTCACTTGTGGAAAACGTTAACATCGCTTGCTACAGATGAACCTCGTTTTAGGTTCCTAAAATTCAGTGCCTTTGTATGGGGAATCGCTGCGATCCCGACCGGAGTTATATACTATTTAAATCGAATTAATAGCGGCGATTTCGATAAATGGGTTCAAATGCACTCCGTTACCTTACATGAATGCTATGTGACAGGTGGTTTTTAATTACTTAGTCTTACCGTACTTAACTAACTATTGCCTTTCGTTCTCAGTCTGGAAGTTTTATACCTGGACCTTCAATGGCGCACCAATACTGATCCTTGGCTCCTTTAATGTCACAATGTTTACACTCACAGTGATTTACATTCGGAAAGTGAAGAGTCAACTGAAGAAGTTTACACCGGACGACGATAGGACGACGGGATGTTTCAATTTCAGCAGCCAAAAGTAAGTTCCAGTCACTTAAGAATTTTCCAAACTGCCATGAAATCATTCCATATTCCGATCATAGTTACTTGCTCTTTCTAAGACTCTCCGTCGTTATGGGGATTTCTTGGATCCTGAATGCTATTACGTTTGGGCCGCACTACGATTTATGGGGGCAGGTCTTTAGGATTGTCGATTACATTCATGGCTCCATGGGAGTAATTATTTTTGCGCTTCTTATTCTGAAGCGCAGCACAATAGAGTTAATTAAGAAAAGGTGAGTTTCTTCTTGTTAGTCTGATTTTGTATTAATCTGATCTTTGTCTTTGCAGAATTCGACAATGAAAAAAGGAGCAGAGGGTTAGCAGTTTAATTAATTATATTTAATATGATTGGGAGTGTTCTACATACATAAAAGATAATTAACATACATTGTTTCCTTTATGAGACTAGTATAAATATTTTAATAAAAAAATTGTAAATCCAGAACCAGAACCTTATTTAAATTTATTCATCTACATTAAAGCACCTTACAGATAGGAACCTATTATTTTTAAAATAGAGGAGCCCCTTTAAGCAATCATAGGATTATAGTTTGCCAATATTCCCCATTTTGTTTTGTTCATACATAAACTTAAGTATATATGTAGGTAACAAAATGCTTGAAAACTCCCCCATTTAAAGTTTAATCATTCAAGTTGGGATACAGACTAATCTAATTTTTTGCTTCATTATAATACATTTTGGTGCGTGGCAAGTGGGCTTCTTTAGCATTTTCATAGATAAACTTTTGGCTTCCAATTAACAAATTTGGCCAGCAACTTTTGCCAACACACCTCCGCTCTGTGTATAAATATTTCAAAATTTCTCCCATCAAATTGGCATTGTTGGACCGGGGAACTTTCGTATCTCACTTGACAACTTGCCGAAATGTGCGGCGTGCGGAACTTCTTGACTTGACAGTTATTGCGAAAGACAGGGGCAGAATGGGCCCCCATTCTTTGGGGCGGAATATTAATTTGATAATTTTACGGCTGAATGCAAATTCGGTGTCAGAGTCCTTGGCTCTCTAATTGACTGACGAATATTTAAAATATGAATTTCAAATGAAGTTCAACAATTGTCTGCTCGTTTTCTTTTCTTTTCTGTTCTGTTCTTTTCTCATTTTCCATTGGCGCTCCTTTTGCTGGATTAATTATGAAATGACGATGATGATGGTGGTGGAGTTGGAGTTGGAACAGCTTTTGCCCCGGTGGAGCATTAATCATGTGAAAGTAATTTTGTGCATTTGCATGCGTTGCAGAAAACGATAATTTTCATCCATCATTTTCAAGTGTTTCCGCAGGATTATAGTGCTGCAAGGAGCAGTCTGCAGTCTGCAGTCTACATCAGCTTGACGATGCATTTCCCTGTCATATCCTGTCTGTGTGTGTGTGTGTGTGTGTGTGGGGATTCCCCTCATTATCCAGCGTCGTGTCGTCGTCAATTATTCTTGTTCTACAGCAGGCTGCCTGGGATAACTTTGCATTTAGTTGATGGGCTTCTCGCTTCCTGGCCAACTCCTCCTCGTCCTTCTTTTCGATGCTTTCGGCTTTCGTCTTTCATCTTTCAGCTGACTGCCAGTTGATCAATGGCTCGGCCCGTTTTCCATGGTGCTTCATGCAATTACGTATTTATATTGCGTATACGCCATGTGGAGACGACGGATGAATGGAGAGTCCTAAAAGTGCGGGGCCTCAAGGGGTTTTCCCTCCAAAATGTTCTTGCCACAACTGCAGCAATAATGAACTTTGATTTTGCCCCTTACCATCTCTTCACAGCTTGTGGCCTGAATGGAAAATGTGAGGCGGGGCTGAAGAATATGCGATATAATTGTTGATTGATGTGGTTTTGGGAAGGTTCGTTCATCGCTCTATCACAAATTATTTGTCTTTAAGGCATATAAGAAAGGCTTACTCAGAAAAACTCTTCTAGAAAGCAGTTTGCAATAAAATAATTAAATGTATTTAATGTAATATATTCCCATTTAATTCAATTATGAAGATATGTTTAAAAAATATGGTAATTAAAATAAACTTTATCCCGAGTTTTATGACGAGTTACTCATTAGCATTATTCAACCCATTAAGGGGCCATAAAACTACGCTTCTTTGTGGGTAAAAAAGAGTCTATTAAGTGGGTTGAAATATTAAGAGCATGTGTGCAGCCACTTGGCTGCTTTTTTGGTTCTCCCCGGATCTTGGCAGGATGTGGTTACAATTTAGCAGATGTCCCCGCTTTTGGCACCAAACTCTTTGGCCATTTATCTGCCCGAGAACGCGGCTGCCAGATGTCGGCGAAAAGTGCGAAAGTATCGCACACATGTTTCCTTTTATTTATTTTTTTTGGCAATGCTCACGCTCTATGTTTAATTGGATTTGCAGCTAAGCGGAATTAGAATGCTCCCGGGGAAATGTGGAGAGTTACATTTGCATATTCGAGCTGTGGCATCTTGAAGGAAAAACCACAGGCACACTTCAAAAAATAAGCTTTAGGTTTGGCAGAACAATTTCTATACATTTATTTGTATGGTTTTTTTAGGTTGTTGAATATGTTAAAAATTTAAATATTTCGATTTATTAATTTTTTAACATTTTAAAAATATTTTAAAAGGTACAAGTTTAGAGAAAATTCTTCTAAAATTTCTTTAGCGTTGTTTAAATATCTCTGGTAATTAAAAAAAAATTTGGAAAACTTAGATGTTTTCCGAGTTATTGTTTTTGGCAAGTTTACTTCTTAATTTATGTGTTATTTTCAAGATTTTCAATTCATTTAGAAATTTTTCTTTGTAGTGCCGCAGACAGGCGACAACAAGCAAGTGTAAATTTCACTTGAACTGATAATTTCACTCAATTTGTGTGCGCTGATGAGCAAAGTTTTCCCATTTGCATGAGACTACGTGTGCCAGCTTTTCCAACACCCACCACCCCCCCAACCTACCGAAACCCCCTCCTCGGGATGCAAGTTTCCATCTTTCGTTTCTCCTTCATCTATGCCACTGATGATTTCTTTTTTGTCGTCGTCGCTGAGTTGAAGGTGCCAATTAGGGATTTCCGCCTCAATTACTTTTGCGAGCACACGAAAACCAAGTTTGTATGATTTTCGCATGACAAACTTAGGGCTTTCACCCCGCACCATCCCCTTCCCCTTTCCCCTCCCCCAAAAGTGCCTGTTTCCTTTCGCGGAGTATTCACTTCCCCCAAAAAATGTAATTGCACGAAGTGCGCCCCCGAAATGTTGGGTGTGCGTGATAAAAAACTCGTTTGCATTTTACATGATTCATCTGCAGGTGCAGAAAGCTTGAATAGTTCATGTGGCTTTTCTTGGGACTTGGTAATTTCCATTTCTAGCGAATGAGTTCCTAGCTCCTTGATTGCCTCTGCGATTGCGTTAAAATGATTGCAAATATGTGAAGAAATGTATGGAAAAGCCATATATAGTACTGATTAAGTTGTAATTTTGGGGATTACAGAAGAAATCTTAAACTAAAATAAATATTTTACCAACAGAACAATGTTTTTTTTAACGTTTGTTGCAATAAATATTAAATTTATGAGAACTGTTCCCTTATTTTCGCCAAGATACTCGATCAAACTGGATTTCTCTTGCTGATTAACATTCCAAGTCTGACCTAATTGTAATGCGGTAGAATTCTAATATCAATTAAAGCGAGTCTCTGAAATAGGCAGACAGGAAGGTCGGTTTATACAGTCAACAGACCAACGAGTTTCTGCAAATGCTAAATGCCAGCAGGTCGAGAGCCTTTCAAATCAAAACCAATATCGGGCTAACGACAAAGGCAAACGATTCTGTACCTTTTGTCAAGTCACGGAAAGGCCGAGGAGCACTTAGCAATATTGCATTGCAACCGGCATCAAATCGAAGTGGTTAGATCGAAGGGAATTATTTGTCAGTTGGGGGAAAGGGGGAGGGGGTCAGATGTGTGACGATTCCGGATGGATCCTTGGCTCATCCTGCTGCTTAAGTGTAATTAAATTCACCCCCCCACCCGAGAGTGTTGCCCATCAAATGGATTGATTTATGATGATGCCCTCCTGCTCCTCGAGTTCCATACTGCCTCCTGGCTGACGAGGCATGACATAATAAATCGTTATGTCCTGGATGGATGGATGTCCTGGCACAATGACACCGACTCACATGAGACGTGCACAGATTTCAAAATTAATTTGCAAAAAGTTTCGCCGGCTCAAATCTCGCATTTCGCCTTCTATGCGCTATATTTATATTTATTATTTCATTTTCCCCGCTTCTGTGTACTTTGGCGTATTTTTACGCTCCACTGCTGCCTCGCTCTTTTTCTTTTCCTGTGTTGACGGCAAAGTTTAATTTTTATTGTTGTTTGACTTTGTTAAATGATTTTTATTGCCTTTCTTCTGCGTCGCGGAGGCAAAGGAGAAGCCTTTGTAGGAATTTAATATAACTGCTGTGACCATATTGCCGAGCAAACAATGCACCATGTTCCAGTTTTTCCCAAAGCTTCAAGTTAACGAATATCCACCTCTTCTTTCGTCCAAGTCTTTTATTGCTCTACAATTTATTGAAGCTCGCCGCTGAGTTTGACTTGAGATATGAGGGCCATTTGATTGTTTTGTTCATACCAACGAGTTGTTGCCGATTTCTGGGGTATTTCAGCCAACAAACTCTGAAATATATCTGTCAGGCGTCTTTCAGTTTGACTATGCGCAAAATCAAACGGAAAACCTGTAGGTAAGAAACATGAAAACCACAACAAAGAGAACCTCATAATTTTATGAAAAAGCTGCGGATGCAGCTGCGTTCAAATTGATGGCATCACAAATATTAATAACATAAAATAACTCTTATTCTATTAATAAAAATAATTAAAAAAGCTTCATTTGATAGTGGTTAAGAAAAACAATAAAATAAAAAATGTTTTAGACTTTAAGGGTAACCTTTGGTATTAATATAAGATATAAGTTCTTATGCCGATAAGAAAATCCAAATTCGTAATTATACTATTTGGCATGTTATTATGTTGACCTGAGCTGTTATTGTAGATTTTCTCGAGGAAAATTTTGCGCCACCACAATAAAGGCGCTTCTCAAGAGTCTGACGTACAAAGAAGTTTTTTGGTGGTTAACTTAAAGGGTTGAATATCAAATTTAATTACAGATGCCAGCACTGATTACATTCAGTTCAAGACTTTGAACTTTTTGACACATCGCAAATTAAATATACTGGAAAAATTAAATACTGGAAAAAAATAAAAATATATACGAAAAATGGAGGTATTGTTCTAGTTTATAAAAATTACTGATGCATTAAAAACGCATAAAACCAACATATACATTTATACACAATATCTAGAAATTGGAGATATATCTTCTAGATTTTCCAAATTTAGAAACTATATTTGTCATGATACTGGGGATTTATCCTCAAGATTTGATTCCAATTCCCCATCAATTAGGTGGTTAATTATCTGGGCAAATATAGAATCGGGCAGCCCGGAGCTTCAACTTGTCTGTCCACGTTTGCGGGAATGATTAATTGCAGTTTGCTGAAACCCAATACGAATCGAATGAATTGCATAATCAGCTGTCAATTACAGTGCTGTCAGATCTGCGGCAGTTGGAGGAGCCTTTATTCGATGCAGCATTAAACAAATTGCGCTGCAATCCAATGCGAATGGATTCTGAATGGCTGCCAAGCGAACAATGCCTCAGGATTAGAACGAATAGTTTCCATGGATGGCCTGCATTTGTGTCAACTGAATTGTTATGAATGTATGTTTGCATTACAGAGCGGTATATCTTTTTCAATTCCACCGCTCCCCCCCGCCGGTCCTGCTTTGCCGGCGATTGTCCTGCGAAGGACAATGTACGATGTACGCATTGCGTCACAGCGAGAGATACGCCCATTGTTCGGGCTGAAACAAAGCCAAATCCTGCGATGCGACATTGTGCCCCTTGTGAGCCTTTCCTTCAGCCTCGGCTTTAGTCATAGTTTTAATCTCACTAATGGCTGGCAGGGTTTCAAGTCGATGGCTACAAAAGCCCAGAGAATCCTGCTCATGTCACAAAGGTCGTTCGCTGCACACGACAACTCAATTTTTCCCCCTTTCCAAAAAAAAAAATAAAGACTCTATACACAAAACACAGCTCGTATACACATCAGCAGGCCCATAGCCATTCGCTGAGTTTGCTTAAAAAATTAAAATAAAGGTTTAATTCAGGTACAAACAGTTTTAGAATATTTAAAAACCAATAATTTAATCCCAGGTACTCTTAAGTAACAAAAATGTTGTAATCTAATAGTTCTAAATCAGAGAAAAAATATATAAATATATTTTCTGTTAAAAACGACGGAGTGTCAATAAGTCAATTCACACCTAAGACTCAAAGTGAGTGAATGCTGACAGTGAACTTGTATTTCGCAATCAATAAACAAATCTCTCAGATAGCTTTTTATAAAATAGAGAGACTGATAATCAGCAAATCTCTTTACTACCTGCTTTGCAAGCTGAGAATAGATTTATAGAATTTCAGTACAACTTGGAATCTCGGATCGCAAACAAGTTACTGCCGCAATGCGTCAACTACGAACATTTGGAATTGTTTCGACTGCCTTTTCCATATTGTTGTGCAGCTGTTTTGCCAGTAAGCCTAAATGTTTTTAGTTATTACCGACTAATAATAGAATTTTATTTATAACAGATCCAAAGGCATACGTTAGTGACTTTGTGTTTCCCACTGAGGATGAGCACAGCAATCAAAAGGAGCAGGTCTCAACTGACCAAACAACCGAATCCGCTGATAACAATGGACAACGGGGCGTATGGGTAACGAGCGATATTAAAAGTCAGAATAAGTGCCCCGACTTTCATCTCGACGATTCCCATGGATATGTTCGTTTGATTTTTATCAGTTACAACAAAGTGAACGATCCTCTGGAGAGTTTGAATAAGGCATTAATTGGGGAACTCAATCTACCGGAACTAGTAAATAGCCTCAGAGTTGTTAATCGCGGACGAAGACGCCTAATTTTTGAACTGCCAAGTGCCATAGATGCCTTTCTTACTCTGAATAGTTATTGTAAATTATATCATGACCGGCATGATCTCACATATGAAATCTTTAATGTGGAGGGTTGTTAAGAAATAAAAGACTTAAATGTGATATTGATACTGCTCTTACAAAACTAGCTATACGTAAGTTGGTTTTCTACCTGAGTTATTTAATATACATTTTCCCAGTTATTTTAAGAATAGTTAAGAAATTATATATTGTAAAATGACCTATGACTTGTAATTACGAATTGATATTGTAGACTTAATTGGATCTGCTTTAGAGTCGGGTTTTCTCCTATAAAATGATTGGCACTATGAATTTCTAAAAATAAATCTCTCTCTTTTGTGATGACTTTCAATTTTACCATTCAACCCATAACAAGAGTTGTTAGCATAGTTAAAAAAACCTGCTCTGAATAAAATTTTCTAAGAATGTGAAGATGACTGAGAGTCATAACTGATTTAATGACTTGACTCATCAATCGGCATACTATATAAGTTTATAATAATCAATACCAATATGCTGAGGGTAATCCCCAATGCAAATTATTATAAAGTAACCTCAACTGACCCCAAACTATTGTTTGGCCCAATCGAACAATTGAAACCCATAAATAAGGGGAAGTGATTCAGAACGAGCTTTGTTTGTAGCGGATGCGGATCCATTTGGACGTCGGTCGCCAGGTGAACGTAGGCAACATGAATGCAATTAAGTTTGTTCGGCGTCATAACGCATTTTGTGCGGGTGTTCCGGGGGTTAGCTTGTTTATTGATGTTGGTCTTTTTGTATTAACTGGGCTAGGACACCCCACGAAAGCCAAAGCCCCGGTGTACCGGGTACCCGGTTGTTGTCGCGCTGGTTGCCCTCGCTGTTCAACATAGCCACAATGGAATAGTTGGCCATGGAGGAGGAATATGGGGACACGGGGACATGGCGAAGTGGGCGAGCGGAGCTTTACAATTTACACATTAATTATGAGCAGACATGTGTTGTAGGCGTTTTGGCCAGGATCCTGGCGGTGGCTCGAGTCTTGCGGCGCGGTAACAGGTGCCTCCTGTTACTTCATCGCCTCTCCATGCACTGTTCAAAAAAAAGTGGGAAGTGTTAAATAAATGCAATTTATTTTCTTAAAATTATTGCATTAATAACTTTTTTTGTAAGAGAGGCAAACAAAATCAACAAAAATAAAACCATATCAATTATATTTTGAGAACAATTTTCTGTTCATAACTTTAAAGTACATAAAACATTTAACATATTTTTTTTCACATATAAAAGAACTTTGAACATAACATACTATTAAATGTAAACAATTTTTCGCAATAGAAAAATATATCTGAGAAAATGTGGTTTGACTTTCATTCCACTCTTTTCTCTTAGTGTGTAAGTATGCAAATTCAGGCTAGGCAAAATATGCCCCTGGCCGGATTTTATGGCAGCGAATTAATGAACGCAGCCAACGAGCCTGGCAATAACAAGGACGTGGGGAAGAGTCATTATTTTGCCCATGTCCCTGCGCCAGCTCCTCCAGATCCTCCATCCCATAGTCCTGTTGTTCTGTAGTCCTTCGCCCCGGCAATGCAATGTGGCCTGGTCAGTTTGCGGCTCCACGAAACACCTCTCTTAAACCTCCCGCCGCCGTGTGCAATAATAGCAATAATTTATCACCCCGGACCCAAATTATGCATGAACTCAATTGTGCGTGAAATTAAATTTTAAGCGCAAACAAGACGACTTGTCGACTCGGCCCTGTTTACCCCAATAATTTGGCTAATTTCACTTGTGAGCAGCCATCGGCCAGGGCAAGCAAGCCACAAGCCATGCAGGCCAAATATAATTGAAAATATTTCAAATTGGTCAATGCAGCCACAAATGACAAGACTTGGTTTTGCACTAATTGAGAGTTTCTTGCGCCTTAGTGTGTAAATTTATTCTCCACTTGTTCCACGGATTAATGAAAAATGTTTGCCTCTTTAGAAATTGATTCAAATTTCATTTGAAATGCAATGGTAATTTATTGGCTGAAATGTGTATTTATGGGAAAGCTTCTTTTTTTATGTAGAACTACTACGGCTTTCAAATTCTGGCAAACTTAACTTAATGTGTCGGCTTGAATTTAAAATTTATTTATAAAATTATATTTATAAGACCTGACACTAGAGGGTAATGCAAAATTAGAAATAAATGTAATCACTATTGGTTCCAAGAACCCTAAAAATCAATCACATAACTTTCAGCATCTCTAAACTTTTCCTTAATTTACTTTCTTTCCTCCCCAGACTTCAACAACTCAAAGATACATATTCGAGTCAGTTGAAGTAAATTTGTACCTCACTACCAAATATGTCGGCGCAAAATTCCCAAAAGACATAAAATAGCAAACTTTTCGATTGCATTTTTGTCGCAGAAGTAGCTCTGATTGCTTTAAAAATAATTTATTGAGTCAATTGACTTTTGCAGTGGAGTCTCCGCAAATAAACGCACTGCAATCGAACTTACCATCTCCGGGGAGCCCCACACATTCACTTGATTTGATTGTGTTGACTCTGCAGAGGGAAATAAACTTAAGTGCAGCAGCCACGTTCCTGAGTTTTTGGTTCGGTTTCATTCGAAATTTATTGCGGCCGGAGTTCGTTCACATGGCAAGTTAAAGCTCCGGTTACATGACTCATTCAAACTCCCGGAATTTGTTCAGTTTTGGGCAGGGGGAAAGCCCGGACATTTGCGAAATTCTGACTCAGACTCTGGCCAAATGCAAACCGAGTCACACATGTCAATTCAATTTGATCGGAGGACCGTGACGGATGAAGAAGGCCTAGCCGGAGCTCAAGTTGAGTCCTTGTTTCCACCAGGGACAACACAACTCCACTGGAAATTCGATAGAGGCTTGCTAGAGGGGGGCGTGTCTGGGATTGGCCAAATAAAAATGTCTCTTTTTCATTTACATTGATTGACAGACGGAGTCGAAGAAGGAAAATGTCTCGTTGAATATGCACTGTGGCTTGTCATTGAAATATCATTTATAATTGGAACGCATTTCCATATGTCCAAATGCGGTTTAGCTCCGGGATAACATTTTTTTAAACGTATCGTTATCAAGATAAACAGAAATTTGATTTACAATATTGAAGTTAGAAATTCTTATGTTAAGTTTGGTGTACTCCAGCACAATAGAATTTCAAAGTTATAATACATGAAAGGCAAAGTATTTTAATTTTTATTATTATCATTATATTTAATTTCTTATTATTTTAAAATACAAACTTTATATTATCCACCAGTCTCTTAAAAGAGTCTCCAGTCGCATTCAGCCATTTGATTTGGAACTCACCACCAATTCAGCAGCAACATCGCAGTTGTTGGGCGACAACTGGAGCAAAGCTACAAAGTTTTGCAGCTTTGTGGTCGACGTGTGGATTGTGTGTGGGTCGTTTGGCTTTTGTATAAGAGTTGAACAGTAAATTAAATGTCAATTAACACTATAAGTGCATTAAACTAGATTCATTGGGAAATAAATACAATACTATTGCATAAATAAAAAACAATTAAAAAATGTACACATAACTAAAACAAAACGAAAAACCCAATAAAGTTTTCCCTCTTTCAAATCAAACTTTGTAAGTAATTGAATTCATAGACCAATTCAACCAATCAAGTCAAAGCTAAGATTTATACCAGCGTAACGAAGAATATTTCAAATAAATAAAATTTGTTTTCAAATTGTATTTATTGCAAATGGTAGTGCAAAAAAATGAAAAATGTGTATCAATCGTTGGCAAAGGATGCTTGCAGAATGCTGAGAGCAGATATTTTATATTTTCGTTGCCGTATTTGCTAGTTGTTCGACACTTTTAGAAGTATTGCTAGAATAACAAAAATGTATGTAATAAATAATGCAAAATCGAATATCATAAATAAAAACAATTTTCATTTTGCTTCTTGGCAATGTTTTTTGATGCAAAACAAGGGAAAATTATATTTTATTTCACATAAAGTTTGGTATCTTTTTACTTTCAACAAAAACAAATAAATTCATGGGGATGAGAATTTGTGGAGCCGAATGCTCTTAGATGCGATTAAAGATTTTAAATATTTTTATTTTTGAAATATTTATCTACTTTTGGTCGGATTGTTGCCATTTGGAAGATGAACATTTTCATGTTGGTACATTTTAAATTAGTTCTCATTAAGAATAAATACTATATGGCTTTAATGTTGTTGATTCCTTTGTGGGAGTGCGGATTTTCCCACTCCTGTTTTGGGATCTCTCTTGTCTCGTTGTTGGTCGCTTAATTAATTTATTTAATTACATCCCCATTTGCATTCATTTTTTAACAGCTGGCAAAGTTGCCATTATGGCGGATTCGTGTCTGTTTACGTTTCCCTCAAAATGGATAACAAACTGAATGAACATATCAGCAAATTATGCGTCGCGTAACTGAGTCTGTATATATTTTTATCATTTACTTTTGTTGCAATGACAAACTGGAAACGAATGGAAAATCAATTAGGAAATGAAATGGTGTGGAAATAATCATAAATTGAGTTGAACCTTAATCGCAACAATTTTAAAGCTAAGCCCACATTAAATGAATAAAGGCAACGGATTGAAAGGTCTTTGAACAAGGCTTAAAATGAAATTACGTAAAAGTTGGTTTACAATTTTAATGACTTTAATAATGCACAGATAAACCAGGAAACCCTTTTAACAAAAGATTTAAAAAGTTCAGAGCCATCGAAAAGGGTTAGCATAAGTCGTTAAGTCCGAACATTAACTTGAACGCCAAGAGCCCTAGAAACTCAGAAAACCCGCAAACATTGCGTATCCGTCAGGTGGGCCCCACAATCTTATTTCGTAATGTCTATTAAATATTTGGCCATCTAGAAATACGAAACCCATATAAAATCAACTAATTAATTCATAAATGATTAAATTTCTTTCCTTTCTTAATTTTAATTGACTTAAAATATAATTGTAGCTATGGTTTCCTGGCAATTAGTTCAATTACTATTTTAATTATAAAATTACGTTATATGCTGAAGCTACAAACCGAAAACCGCAATTTTGATTTTTCGAATGTAGGCGTTAAGCCCAGCACACAGCCTAATTAATTAGTAAAATATAAAAGGGCTATTCAAGAGTTTACATAAAATAGAGGAGACCAAAAACCACAGCCCAAATATTCGCATAAATATTTAAATGAACAAGCTTGTGCCAAATAAAAGTCTCATCGAAAAGTCGCATGCATTTGTGTAACTAAGACCAATAGCCAATTTCATATGATTTGGCCATGTAATTTTAAGAGCTAAAATCCCTGCATCTCTGATTTGCATTGGAATCCAAATAAAGAACAGGGATAGAGAGACGGACGCATACATATTCAGAAGGATTTCGCATGCGGCGCACATTTTTGAATACATTTGACAATTTTCGTAAGAGAAATGAGAAATATTTGCATTTACTTGAGTAGCAGCAGCGACAACGACGACTACGACGACGGCAATGCAAAAATGTAATTTCCATGAAAGCAGCCAGCTCCGGAGAAGAACGGGGTGTGGTGTCACGATGTGGACGAGGATGAGGATGTGGATGGGGGAGAGGGTCTACGGCCGGAGTCATGAGCCAAGCCGGAGTCACCCGAAGTGGCTGGAAGTGCGCAGGCATTCGGGCCATCCCCCAAGTCCTGGGTTTCACTGTGATCCCGGCATAGCTACACTTGAACAAATGATTACAGCTTAAAATGCCGCTCTTAATATTTTATACTTTTGAGAAAAGTAATTTATAATATAAAATGTTGAACAAGTTCAAAGTTTTCAAATAAAATTAGGGTAATTTATTTTAAAGATTTTAATAATGAATATTTTTGTTGGTAGTTATATTTTAATAAAAAAAATTTTAAAGCGTTTAATACAAGTCACTTTTGGGCCAAGAATGGTTTTCTAATCTTTAATTGATATTTTTAAATCTTCAAAATATTTATTTTTTCTAATCCATTCTATAATACATTTTTTGAAAAGCTGTATAAATGTAGGAAAATATTTTGATAATCCGAGAGGCAATATATTTTAGAAGGTTCAAAATTAAGTACTTTTTTAATAATCCAAAAGGCAGCATAACATAGAAGGTTCAGAATTAAGTAATTTTTTGATAATTCAAAAGGCAACATAACATAAAAGGTTCAAAACGAAGTACTTTTTTTTTGAATATTTTTTTTAAGTGCAGTCAGTAAAGCAGTAAATGTAGGCGAGGAAAGTTTCCTGGCGTGTGGGGAAGACGAGGCGTTGACGGCGGTGTCTATTGTGCGGGTTAGCAGCGGCTGCATTTGCATCCCGACAGCAGATGCTGCACTCACTCTCCGCCAGAATCCAGCATCCAGAGCCCAGAATCCAGACGAGGATTGGGACGTGCGATGTGGGCGGACTGAGAGATTTTCCAGAGCCTGTCCGGCTGGCATGAAATATTTGACTTTTGATTAAAGCACCGACTCAAGTGCTCGACGGAGCTCCCTGGCGTCCTGCCCTGCCACTTGACAAGATTCACTTGTCTCTCAAATGCATTTCATATTGTGTTGCATAATTTTCTGCGGTTACCCTGCTCTAATGTGAGATACCCAAAAACAGTAAATTAAAAAAAAATAAAAAACGAAACCCCCAGACGCTCGAAATTGTGAAAAGTTTTCCAAGAACTTACTGGGGAACCAGTTCCGTCGTTGTCATCGGGACTGTTGTTGCGGTGTTGCGGAATATGCATTGTTTGCTGTGGTGCAAATAGTCGTTTCTATTTCTATCTGGCTGGTAAAAGTGTTGCCCGAGCTGCTGCACTTGTGCCAAAACTAAACAGAGCGAGAAGTTTTATGGAATTACACGTTCGAGTGCGGAATTCCCCCTCAATGGCATGTGATGGAAAATAAGTTTTGGGGCCTGCACATGATTCTTAACAGTTGCTTTTTAAAACAGATATACAACAAGTGCACCTACACTCCAAAATAAAAATCTAAAAAAACTTAAATTCTATTAAAATATTCTTTTAAAATAGAAAAAAAAGTGAAAAATAAAAGATATGTAACCAATTTAATGTACAATCATATTTTTTAGATTTACATTTTACTAAAATTAATAACAGTGCATGTCGAACTGAGTACTTGATTACTTATTCAAAAGTAAAAACTGCAATTAAATTCAATCATGCTATGATTTCTTGTAATTCGGAATATCAAAGAAAATATGTTTTGTTTCGGTACCAATTAGCTTGAAAATTGAGTTGAGTACAGAGCCATATATCAATGGGGTTAAATTGGCATGCGAATGTGAACCACTTAAGCGCGGCAAATACCGAAAAATCTTCGAGGCAACACTTTGTTCAGGCCAGGACAAAAAATTAATCATACGCTCCGGTTGCCAGCACAGTGGAGGGGAATTTGGCGGGATCAAGGGGAATATTATTGCGGTACAAAGGGCAAATTAATTTTTCATAAAAGGTGAACCACGCGGCCACCGCAGTGCAGAGTGGAAAAAGGGGTTCTTGTACCTCTAGGACCTGCTCCTCCTGCTCCTCCTGCCTCTCCTCCTCCAGATCCTGCGGTTTGCTGCTCACGCACGTACCTGGCACACCATACACACGGACATACACTCGCATACACGGGCTGGGCGCAATTAATTTTCAATGTGCGCTTTATGCAGCTACAGCTACAGCTACAGCTCCTTGCCGGGCCCGGATTTCGCTTTCTCCGGCGGGAAAATGCGGCTGCCAAGGTCCCCAGCTCAGTTGCGATGGCGAGTGCGGCAGGGCGCACTAATTGCCACACAAAAAGCGGCAAAAAGAATCGCACCAGCCAGCCCTTCGAGCCCTCGAACAACTCTTGATCGCATCGCTGGCTAATGTGATGTGTGCTTAATTTCCGTTCTTCAGCTAATTGGCCTCGTTTGCCTGGCTTTCGCTAATTACTTAATCATCAACCGCACTGACAGCCCCTAGATTTTGAATAAATGCAAAAAACTACTGAAATCTTACAACAAGAAACTATAAGAATGAACAAAAAACGGAAACTCATAAGAGACAAAATATCTTTGAACGAAGTTTGTATGCACTCAAAGCTTTCGAAAGATTAATTCCCAATAAGACTTAATTAGCAAGATCGTTTGTAATGTATGATGATGGACTTGAGGAAAAAGAAAAAAAAATGCATTAAGACATATAAACTTGATACGTCTGATGACGCTAATCAATATTATATTCGAGTGTACAGCAGATGTCTCGTTATCTGAGTTCTCCGTTTTTCTGAGTCTATGTTAATAAGTATACACATTTGATTTATAGACTATTTCAAGCTAATTAATAATTGTATAACAATCAACAAATTACACGCTGTTGAAGTCTAGAAAAAAATATATTTCGTATTATTTTTTATTGGCATTGTCTCTTCGGCCTTATCAACATTTGTGCACGTTTTAGCGAGTAGGTGTGACCCTTAAACTGATACCAGTTGATGCCCTTTCCATGGTTGTTATCGCCATACTTGCCAGTCAAGTGGCTAGAGAAAAAGTATAAATTAAAAATATAAAAAATATATAAAAATCTTTACCTGTGGTGACAGGCATTGTACCACCAAGCGGCGTTGTAATTTGTGGCACAATGAACTGTAGCATGTTTGTCGTTGTCGCGATCTTTGGTGCTGAACTTTGAACCCAAATGTGTTGCCATGGCATCGCCAGCGTTACCCGAAGTATTACCCAACGATTCCAGGGCGTAACCATCCTGTTCCGATCCGATTTTGAAGTTATCGTATGTCTGGTATCGCCGGTCTCCCTCATTGTCCTCGAGCAAAACCAATAATTCCTGGGTCTGCGAAGAAGTTATGGCATGGAGCTTATCGAGTCCCAGGAAGAATTCATTCTCCAACTTTCCAAAACCGTTTTTATAGTCGTTCCAATCTCTGTAGAAATCCTCACTTCCATCCGTACGACGTAAAATGACGGTCCAGCCGCCACCATGACTCAACTGATCGCAGGCCACCACAAAGGGGTGCTTACTGTACTCGGGCACCACGATCACATTGATTTCACTGTGCTGAGTGAGCACCGAAGGTTCGGCGCAACTCTTTCCATACAGTTTTGTCTCCACCCCAATTTTTGATAGGCAACTGTCCAGTTTCTGGGTTAAGTCATCCAATAGTTCTCCATGTCTCTCCTGCTCCACACTAAAATAATATTATTCACGTAATTCGTATACAATATATTTATCAATGAAAAGTTCTAACCGCACTGCAATCATCTGAGATCGTATGGATGCCGCATTGCCGCAAATCGATGATAGTTCACACACTTTTTCAGCATTTATAAAGATTAATATATTGATGATTAGAATCGAAAATAGATTGGAGCGCATGGCGACTGTAGAGAGCAATTGATGATTTAAGACTGAGCCGAAGTGCTTTTATACAAAGACGGCGGACTGAGAAATACTGGGTTATGCCATGTTTATTTCAGATTAAATCAGTGCTTCCCCCAATATTGCTTACGTTTAATTCGGGCATTTACCTTATAAACCGGAATTACATTTTTAACATGAGTAATTGAGAGAGCAACATCCATTATTTTAAAAAGTTCTTTATATAATATACTGGAATGTTTATTGCTTCTCATCCGGTGGTGATTGCAATGTAGGACAAGTTTTTCAGTGGATTGCACTCGTACCCATCAAATCCGTTTGGCTGTCAACTTTTCCGCTCTGGCAGGACATCCAGAACAGCCTGGACAGATGTCTCGGTTTCGAACTTAGTAACGAGCTCATCCGCAGCCCAGCCACCAAAACCCACTGCTGTCTGTCAAATTGAGCGCAAAAGCCTTGGCAGCCAGCTCAGGTGACATCAGTTCCGTCTCGTTACAGTTTGAAGTTTACCGTGTGTGACAGGCCTGGGGTTTTGTGGGCGGACAACCGCAAAAAAGTTCAAGCGAAAAGTTTTCTGTAAAAACAAAGAATTTTTATTACACTCACAAAAAAAGTACACTAATTTTCGCACCCGCATATAACAGCTTTTAAAGATTCCGCTTATGACTCTTGCGTTTTTATATAGGTCAGTATAAGGATTTTTGTTAGTTTGCAACAAAGAATCGTACTATAATTAAATCTTCAATGCTAAAATACAATTTTTATTTTTGTGTTCTGATTCACACCAATATTATATATTAACAAGAAAGGAAAGCTAACTTCGGGCGGAGCCGAAGTTGATATACCCTTGCAGAATACTCTGTAAATTATATTCTCCAAAATTATTCATATGATGCATTCTTAATACTCATAAAAAATCCGAACTTCCTTACTTTAACAACAACAAAGTTATGGCGTTTCCAATCGTTCAGTTATATGGCAGCTATAGGATATAGTCGGCCGATCCTTATGAAATTTGGTAGGTCGGATTGATTGGCCAAAAATAAAATCCATAGAAAATCCCAACTTCCTAACTTTACAAACACCAAAGTTATGGCATTTCCGATCAATCAGTTATATGGCAGCTATAGGATATAGTCGGCCGATCCTTATGAAATTTGGTAGGTCGGATTGATTGGCCAAAAATAAAATCCATAGAAAATCCCAACTTCCTAACTTTACAAACACCAAAGTTATGGCATTTCCGATCAATCAGTTATATGGCAGCTATAGGATATAGTCGGCCGATCCTTATGAAATTTGGTAGGTCGGATTGATTGGCCAAAAATAAAATCCATAGAAAATCCCAATTTTCTAACTTTACAAACACCAAAGTTATGGCATTTCCGATCAATCAGTTATATGGCAGCTATAGGATATAGTCGGCCGATCCTTATGAAATTTGGTAGGTCGGATTGATTGGCCAAATATAAAACCCATAGAAAATCCCAACTTTCTAACTTTACAAACACCAAAGTTATGGCATTTCCGATCAATCAGTTATATGGCAGCTATAGGATATAGTCGGCCGATCCCGGCCGTTCCGACTTATATACTGCGTGCAAAGGAAAGAAGGGTGTGTGCAAAGTTTCAATCCGATAGCTTTAAAACTGAGAGACTAGTTTGCGTAGAAACAGACAGACGGACAGACGGACATGGGTATATCAACTCAGGAGGTGATCCTGATCAAGAATATATATACTTTATAGGGTCGGAGATGTCTCCTTCACTGCGTTGCACACTTTTGACCAAAATTATAATACCCTCTGCAAGGGTATAAATATATTCAAATTATAAATTATTGAATTATTAATTATTATTATTATTAAATTGAAATATTATTATACCCTTGCAGAGGGTATTATAATTTTGGTCAAAAGTGTGCAACGCAGTGAAGGAGACATCTCCGACCCTATAAAGTATATATATTCTTGATCAGGATCACCTCCTGAGTTGATATAGCCATGTCCGTCTGTCCGTCTGTCCGTCTGTCCGTCTGTCCGTCTGTCCGTCTGTCCGTCTGTCCGTCTGTCTGTTTCTACGCAAACTAGTCTCTCAGTTTTAAAGCTATCGGATTGAAACTTTGCACACACCCTTCTTTCCTTTGCACGCAGTATATAAGTCGGAACGGCCGGGATCGGCCGACTATATCCTATAGCTGCCATATAACTGATTGATCGGAAATGCCATAACTTTGGTGTTTGTAAAGTTAGGAAGTTGGGATTTTCTATGGATTTTATTTTTGGCCAATCAATCCGACCTATCAAATTTCATAAGGATCGGCCGACTATATCCTATAGCTGCCATATAACTGAACGATTGGAAATGCCATAACTTTGTTGTTGTTAAAGTTAGGAAGTTCGGATTTTTTATGAGTATTAAGAATGCATCATATGAATAATTTTGGAGAATATAATTTACAGAGTATTCTGCAAGGGTATATCAACTTCGGCTCCGCCCGAAGTTAGCTTTCCTTTCTTGTTTTAAAATAAAGTTGGTCGTTTTTGTATTGTTAAAACTTTTTTAATATTTTTTGGTAAATTAGGAGAAGAAAAGATTATCGTTTTATTTAAATACCATTAATTTGTTTATGTGCACGAATAAAAACTCTTGAATGCAGATCCCGGATTGATCATTTGTGGAATAGAGCTACAACTTTGGTTCGAAATCGGAAAAACCCCGGGCCAATACATCACCCCGCCCACCCCGCCCACGCCTCTGCTTCTCGACCATCTAGATGGGGTAAACAGGATTTGGGGGCATAAATCGAAATATTATCAAGATGCCAGCTGGTCGCGTCGCAACTAAATTGTTTGTAAATTTCTGTTCAGCTCTTTTCCTTCACCCCAGTGGCGCCTGCTGGACAAGAAAAACAGAGACAGCTCCCGAAAATTGTGTAAACAAGTTTTACCCACCTATGAGAAAATTTACAATTTGGCCCAACATTGGCCTAAACATTGTTGGGTTTTATTTTTTGGGGCCCCGCCTGGGTTGTATTTCATTTTACTTCAACACTCTCTGTTCGTGTGCCTGGGGTCCAACTTTGGGCATAATAAATAACATAAAAATGAAGCGAATTCAACCTCAAAGTTCAATTCAAATAACCACTCAATAGATCTGCCGACTACTCCAGGGAACTTGCCTTCGCAGCTGCCTTCCTTCTTCTTGTGCATACGAAATGGCCGCCGGCTGGCTGGAATAGACGATGAATTTAAATATGGCCAAATTGAGTATTGGGCACGTAATAAAAAAAGGACGAAGGCTGGGCGGTCGGACGGCCGTTATGTATGGCATCGTAAATAAACCCTTTTTTTACTTAATCCAAATTCGTCCCCGGGGAACAATTTGTTACACAATTTAAAAAAGAAAAAAGGACGAAGAGAACGCCGCGCTGCGAAGTGGGAAAGGCGTTTAGATTTAGTCCGAGTCGAGCTGTGTGTCCTTGCCAGGACTCGGGTCAGTTGTGCATACATTGTCCCTATCCCTATCCCTATCCGTGCTGCAATATTTTCGCCATAAAATATTTATATTTTTTTCGCTCTCCACTCTGCCAGTAATAAGGTTTTAAATTTCCATTTCAAATACATATTTGATGTGCTTAGAAGACACAGCGAATGTGCAGGGCTATAAAAGAATCCGACGAGAGATATGAAGATGGACCGAAAAGGATTTGGAATTGCTTTACTTGCTGCAGTGTTTTTTTTTTTGTATCTGCAGTCGCTGATTTTGTTGCAACAAAATATTTGTGCTAGCATGTGTACATGTATAATCCTCTCAACCAACTTGATTGCTCACAATATAAATAATAAAATTCAAATTGGAAATCTGTGTATTATCTTTTATTGTCTGGATTTCAGATGACGATGTAACAATCGAATTTTTATTTGAAGTTTGTTGATCTTATAACTTGTAATATTTTTTATTTTTATAGAATATACTACTAGACCTTATTTCGATTTCTATTTAATTTTTTTTATTGTCTCTTTCTTTTTAAAAATATCTAGATTTTCTTAATTTTTTCTTAATGAAAAGAATTCCAATTATCTTCTTCTTATCATCAGTTTTCTTTGCCATCTGAACTGCATCAACGATAAACTTCGAACTTAATCAACTGTTCCGGAGATCATTTGATGGCTCTTTGGCCAAAAACTATAGCAACAAAGGCATATGGGGAAAAACAGAAGCCGAGAGGCCTTAAATCGGCGCCAACTTTTCCAAAAATTAGCGGAAACGGAAGCCAATCAGCTGGCAGCGGAAACCGCATTGTGCTGCAGTCCTTCAATTTCGTGGCTTCGATTATGATGAGGCGCTGGACTCCAAAGGCCACCGTCGACGATGAGCTCGCTTTGGCTTTGCGGCCAGAACCGAAAATAATGGCCAAGAGCCAAATTACGTTTCCGCCATTTGGTGCCGGCCGGCTTTCGCTTGACCGGAAATTGTGAAAAATCAACTCGGTCGAAGGGCCACCCGGTTCACGAGTGGGTTTTCCCCCAAGTCCGAGGGGTAAGTGCACGGAAAACTGACTTCGCAATGAAAATTACTGCTTAACGAGCAAATTTCAATATAAAATAAACTTAAGGAAAATATTCCAGAGAAGCGAAAAGAAATAACCCAGCGAAGTTGTTTCACTCCCAAATGAAAGGCCTCAAGGAGTTGACTTTAGGGATGGACTCGTGTAAAAATTATCGTGCTTTAGTTTATTTATAAAATTAAGTCATGTCCCTCATATTTATATATATATATCATAACCATTTTTAATAAAGTGTCAGATAAAGAGTATATAATAAAGAGTTATTTCATAACTCCCTTCACGAATGAATGTGTGAATGAAAAGTCGTGAAAGAACAGCTTTCACCTCTAGTTGTTTGCCATATCCTCCCCCAAAAAGAGACTGGCATCTGGCAAATGTCTGCGAATTTTATAATGAAATTCCACAGCGTTTAATTATGCCCGGAGCAGTAAGTGCCATAAGCCCTCAGATCC